AGGAGTTCAAGATCAGCCTGGGCCATACAGTGAGACCCTGTCTACAAAAATAAAAAGTTCAAAAATTAGCCGAGTAGGCCAGGTGTGGTGGCTCACGCCTGTAATCCCAGCCCTTTGGGAGGCCAAGGCGGGTGGATCGCTTGAGGCCAGGAGTTCTAGGCCAGCCTGGGCAACATGGTGAAATCCCATCTCTACTAAAATATGCACATACAAAAAATTAGCTGAGTGTTGGGGCACATGCCTGCAGTCCCATCAACTTAGGAGGCTGAGGCAGAAGGATCACTTGAGCCCAGGAGCTTGAGGCTGCAGTGAGCTATGATCACGCCATTGCTCTCTAGCCTGGTGAGCGTGAAACCCTGTCTCAAAAACAAAACAAAATTAAACACACACACACACACACAAAAGGTGCTAGCTCTTTCTCTTTCCAACTGGGAAATCTTAGGGAAAAGGAAGTTAACTGAATTCTCAGTCCCAGTTCTCTCAACTGCAAGGCAGAAAGAATATCTTTCTTAGAGGTTTGTAAGAATAGACTGAAAACTCTATTCTTTAAATCAATTGTAAATTGATATTTGCACTTTAAAGTGCGTTTTATTTTTTTCCCTATCTCTCTCCTTCTGACTCTCAATAGATGATCTCGCCTCCTACTTGTCAGAGAAAAGTAGATGTCGTCAGACGGGAATCCCTCATTCTCCCGACACTAAACATGCAGCCCACTGGCATCTGCCCCGTCTTCCCTGCTGCTGGAAGAAGAGCTGGACTCCTCCCGTATAGTCTCATCCCCCTCCCTGAGCTCTGCTCCCATCTCTTGAGGTGGTTTTAGGAATTTACATTCAATATTGATTAATCTTCCCTTCTCTTATACTTTGAGCCTCCCCTTCTCAATTGAATATTTTCATAGACCTTTAACTTTGATCTAATATATCCCAATAAAATAAAAGGAACACTTGATTAAGTTGTATTTTGCAGCCGTCTCTCCATTTGTTGGGATGGATGTGAAGCTTTGGTACCTTCTTTCAATCCTACAGGTACCACTGAAGTACCTACAGTTGTCCCTGGAGACCCTAGCTGCAAAATGGGATAAGTGTCTTGCCTGATCATTTTATCTGCGGGTTAAGCCCCTGCAGAATTAGTGAACCCCCCCAACTGAATATGTATTTTAAGTCCAGAAGTTCTTAAACATTTATGTGCCCCGGACCTCTTTGGCAACCTGGAAAGTCCATGCTTCCCTCTCAAAATAATATTAAAAGTATAAAGTAAAATACATATAATTACAAAGGAAATCAACTATATCAAAATGTAGTTATAAAATTGTGATATCATAATACATCTGCTTCCTTTTATGGAAGCATTAAATCAGAAAAGGTAGAGGCAGGTTTAATACTACCATAATTTCAAAGTAGTGATAGACATTAAAGGATATTGTAAAAAATCTTCAGGTAATACAAACATCTGTGACTTCTATTTGATTAAGACACAGTATGATACAATACCTCAAATACTACTGTGGTTTTCTGTCTACTTGTATAACTGAGGTAAATGGGGAATTTCAGTTACAAGTGACTGAATGTAAAAATGGAATTTTTCCCATCCACAGTTATAGACTCTGGGTTCTGTCCATGGGTCCTGGGACAAGAATCTCAGTTTTAGATAGTACTGTCGCTGAACTTGATTGGTTCCTTTTGTCCAAGAACTATCCACAGGAGATTAGGAACACACACCAGCAACAACAGAGAGAATGGAAGGCATAGTCTCACCTTGGGGCTGTGTCTCAAAGGGGAAGGGTTAGGAAGTGCCAGCACCACAGTGGGGGCATTCTGCCAAAGTCCTATATTTTTAGACTTTGGAAATGAACTGGTTAATATACTGATTTCATTGTCGAACTAAAACCTTTGAGTGGCGGCAGAGACTTACACAGGCTTTCCCATAAACTACTTGGGATGGAAAGAACGACAAGACAGGAGGAATGTGTGTGTGTGTGTGTGTGTGTGTGTGTGTGTGTGTGTGTGTAATTTGTTTGTCACCCAGGCTGGAATGCAGTGGTGCAATCCTGGCTCACTGCAGCCTTGACCTCACTGGCTTAAGCAATTCTTCTACCTCTGCCCCCTGAGTAACTGGGCCCACAGGCACCTGGCACACACACCCCGCTAATTTTGTATTTTTTGTAGAGACAAGGTTTTACCCTGTTGCCCTCTGCTTTCAAACTCCTGGGCTCAAGTTATTTGCACACCTTGGCCTCCCAGAGTGCTGGGATTACAAGCGCGAGCCACGGCGACTGCCTGTGTGTAATTGTTAAAGAAAAATGGGTATACTCTAATTCTTATAGCCTATTGTTTTACAGTGTCACAATAGGCCATGAACAAGTTTCCATTTCAACAAATGCAGTCATAAGATATTATTAATGTCTGCCTAATATTCTATTATGGATGTATACCATAATTTATTTAATACATCCCCAGGTTTGAATGTATAGGTTGTGTATAACCTTCCTTATCATGTAAACAGTGCTCTGATGAGTGCTGTAGTTAAATTGTTGTCCACATTCTATTTTTATTTCTTTGGAATATTCCTATAAAGGGAATAGTCATAGGACAATTCAGTAACAACCACAACAGCGATAGATATTTTAAAGATTTTTTTTTTTATCAGTACTGTCAAATTGTCCTCAAGAAGGGTTGTTCCAGTTCATACTAGAACTAGGATCTTTGGCCTTGGCTTAGAAGATGGCAAGGAGACTGGGACAATGGCCCTAACTAGTGAGAAGTAGCAGAACCTTTGTATAAGAAGCCCTGCAGGGAGCAGGAAGGAAGCTGGCCAGGAATATGCCTAGAATATTCTACTTTTTTGTGTGTGGGTAGCGGGGAGGGACTGGAAATACCTTCAAGACAGAATGAGAGATGGGACTGAGTCTCCAAGACCTGGAATCCCTCGTGTTAAATCATTTGGATAAATGCAGCCTTATATAGTTGTGTTAAGGAGACCAAGGGGAGGGGTTTGCATCCAAGTTGGGACCACAGTAAGAGATACATAGTCATATATAAATATATGTATTACTCAGGGAAAGCCATAAGGAGACAGAAGTTTCAGGTGGGAAGGCAAGAGCATAATGGCCACGTGGTCCATTGCCTCATTACCTGGTCAGTCCCCTGTCGTGTTTTCTCTGCTCAAATAATAGGGATATGTGGGCAACTAGAATAATGGAGGTTCTTTGTTCCTTTTTTTTTTTAAATCATCTCTCCATCTTCTTTCCTTTGCAACTGGACAGCATATTCCATGAGAGCAGAAACCGATACTTCTTTTATATAACCAACAATAGTAGATATGAAAAAAGAAAATGCTTTCTAATTCTCTCCACTGTTGAAATAAGGTGGCAGATCCTGCCACAAACGACACTAAACGATTAAAATCTAAGCAGACCTGCAACTGATTATTATCTCTTTCCTTCCCGCAGTTTTATAGATGTAGATTTGGTTTATTTCTTCATGCACATACACCAAAGGTGGATTCTCTCACCATAATCCCATCTCCCCAATCTGCAATTCAATTGTTAGCGTCTTCTCCCACATTTTCATCTGCCACCCCATAGGATGTAGCTCTCCACTCACAATCTAAAGGTTACAAAGTTACATCCATAAGACTTAGTTTCCCTGTTAGGAGCCCACATCGGGGACCCCTGGCCCATTACCTTCTCTCTCTGCAACCTCGGAGGGACCAAAAATGGGCGAGGTGCAGTCAGAGCCTGGATGGGCACTTGCTTCTGTGAATGCCCGCCTGCCCACTCTCTCACACTTTGGGCTTTCTGGGTACAGCTTAGACAAAAAGGTCTCCTTGCCCTTTCTCATACATCTTTTCTGGACTCCACTTCTTGCCTGGTGTAACCAAAGTGCTCACTTAACCCTTGCAACTTAGACCTTCATCTCCTCCCCATGTATCTACCTGGCCCCATCCCACGAGCCAGAGGCCAATCTTTCTCTTTGCTGCTTCGGGACCGCCTTGCTTTCATTTGTCCAAGAAGACCACGTCTCAGAAAAGTTAAATTGGATTCAAGACGATGTCTTCTAGCCAGCCTCGGGTCCTGACATTGTTGTTAGTCTACTGCGAATAAACTATGCTCGTCATACTCTCCCATCCCCAACCAGGCCTGGAGCTCGACTATCTGCAAATCCCCACACCCACCCCTGAATGTCCAGCGAGCATAGAGAAGTGACCCACACGATCCACTTGCAAAGACTTCATGTTCTGTTTGGGTGGACAAAATAGCGCACTTGAAACGCAGAGCCCAAAGCTGTGTCCAATCACGTTTCTGTGTGTGTCCCAGATGCGGCCCCAGGAAGAAAACAAGTGTTTGCGGAATTTGGTGGCCAAAGGCCCTTCGGCCCGGCTTTATTCTCACCACCACCCCACTTCCTCTCAGGGCATCCCCTGCCCCCAGCCCGCAAAATCCATCAACCAGAACCTCGGGGTAGGCCCTGGGTTCGTGCCCCGGCTCCCGAAACCCAAGCCGGGGTTCTCCAGGCGAGAGCCCCGGGAAAGGGGCTGGGCACGGGCAGGCGGGGGGGCGCGGCGGCGGGGGGGCGCGGCGGCGGGGGCCCCAGATCCCCGAGGGAGCGCCGCGGCACGGCCGGGGCAGGGGCGGGGAGGCGTGGGGCGCAGCCAATCCCCGGGCCGCCCCCTCCCCGGCCGCGGCGAGCAGAGCCGGGGCGGGGGAGCCAGGCGGCGGCGGCGGCGGCAGCGGCGGCGGCGACGGAGCTGCCGTGGGGAGGGATGGAGAGGGGAGGGGGGAGCGGAGCCGAGCGGAGACAGCCGCGGCGCTGCAGAGCGGCTGGGGCGGCGGCGCGGCTCCCGGTGCTCCCCCCGGCGCGCGCCCCGAGTCGGTGAGGGCCCGGTCCGGCGGCCCCCGGAGCCATGGGCTGCATCGGCTCCCGGACTGTGGGTGGGTACCGCGGCCGGGCGGGGACAGGGCTGGGCCCCCCGGGCCGCCCTCCCACCCCCTCCCCCATCCCTCTCCTCGCGCGTCCGGGCGCCCCGCTCCGCACCCGCCTTGCCCTGCTAGCTCCTTCACTTTCCCTCCGTCCGCCCGCGGTCCCTCTGTCCCTCCTTCCTGCCCGCTCTCCTCTCGCGCCTCCGGGGCTGCCATCCCGCTCGGCTCGGTTCGTTCTTCCCGTCGCCCTCCCGCAGGCGCGGTCCTCTCCATCCTCTCCATCGTCCTCCTCTCCTCTCCTCCGACGCTCGGCCCGACGCTCGGTCCCCTCATCCCTGCCCCTCCAGGCCATCCACCTCTGCTCCGCCGTCCCCAGCGCCTCCTCGCATTCCCCACTCCGGAGCAGCCCCCCGCGAAGGACCCCCGGCCTCCGCGCCAGCCCCGAGTCTCTTTCGCACGCCCCCCACGCCACCCCCTGCTGCCGCCTCCATCTGGCTCGGGTGCTTTGCCCCATCTCTCTCCCTCTCCGTTGCCTTTTTCTGTCGTTCCTGCCTCCTCCGATTCGCTTTGTTCACGTGCGTTTTCCCTCTGGGGCGGGGGCGGGATGAGCCCGGGTTCCACGCCCGGAGGGACCGGGCCAGGGCCGGGTGGAGGGAAGGGGCTGGGGGACGCGGGGAGGAGGTGGGGGCTTCGAGGCGCTGAGAGGGGTCGGGAGCGCGCGGCCCGGGAGGGTGGGGCCGGCCCTGCCTTGGCAGCCGGGGACCCGCCGGCACCTGTCAGCGGGGGCCGGCGGGGCGGGGCCGGCTCTTTATTTACCTTTGACGCGGGGAGGGAAGAGAGGCGCCTCCTAATCCACCTTCTCCCTCCAACTTCTGCCTGGCTACGGCCCCAGACCCCCACCCAGGCATCCACTCCGCTCTCGCCGCTCAGCGAATTCATCCAGCCCTCTCCCACCCCCTCCCCCATTCTTTCCCTTTCCAACTCCCAATTTCTCCCGCCTACACCTCCTGGTGACCTCAGGCTGAGAGAATAATTCGTATTATTATTACAAACACACTCACTCTCCAGAAGCCTGATTTCCCTGAGACCGGTTTATTTCCATGGATACCCCCTCCTCCTCTGCTTTCACCCCTTCTCCCTGGCTCTCTCCCTCCCCGCTGCCCCCCACAGCTCTGACTCAGCTCTCCGTCTCCCACAAAGGCCACCCCCCGCTCCCCTCTCCCCCCGCCGCTGCCCTCCCCTGTCTCCCTTCTCCTTAGGCTCTTCTCCGCCTGCCCCATTCCTGCTGTGTCCCGAGGGCCATCTTTTCTCTTTTCCCCCAGTCACCACCCCGCGGAGCCCCAGGGAAGAGCAGGCCAACTTTGGAGGGTCCTCCCTCCTCAGTCCAGTTCACCAGCCCCTTCCTTTCCCCCACCCCTGCTGATGTGCGGAACGCCTCCTCGTGCCCAGCCCCATTCAATGCTCCCCTTCCCAAAAATGGAGCTGACCCTAAACTCACAATTGTAAAACCTCATAAGTATAAAGGGTCTGTATGGTCAGATGGTTCAGGCAGTCATCTGATGCTTGAATAGTCCCTGTAGGAAGACCCAAGCTGTTCTTCCCCAAGACTTCCCGGAGCACCATCCTGCCCTCAGTCCAGGAGTCTCCACCAGGAGCTCTGTCCTGGCTCTAACAAGCACCCTCCTTCCCCTGAGTCCTGCAGTTTCCCACTCAGCCCTCAGACCCTGTCCACCCCTCCCACCATCTTCTGTCTTCTCTCTGACTTGAATTCCTATTTTCTTAATTCCTATTTTTAAAAGTTCTCTCTTCTCCTTGTGCTCCCCACCTTCCCTCCACTTTAATCCATCACTTGTCTCCCTACAGTCAGGTGAAATGCCTCCAGGTCACCCTTGGCTTCTCCGCTCACTCTTTCTGGGAGGACACACCCAGCTCCTTGCTATCCAACTCCTGCCTCAATTCCCAGGAGTCCTCTTCCAGTCAGTCAGACTCACGGATGCTTAGGAAGGGCCCACAGTGGGAGACACATCCCTGCCACCCTAAGCCTAGAGAAAAGCCCTTCACTAGAGCAGTTCTGCCCTTATCTATAGACTTGTAATAGAGAACAGCCCAGCTCCCATACAGAAACCCTCCAAGAGTCCTCAGGAAGGAATAAGAATTGATTTTCTGATAAAACCCAACCTCTGACCCCTCCACATAAACAACAACAAATAAGGCCATATATCAGTTTTTCTGAGTGCACTATTCTTGGTTGAGCTAAAACTGGATATTTGGGCTCAGCATTACCACTTGTCTCTCCTAGAATTTGGAGAGCGCAGGAATATAAGAGGAAATGGGCAGCTGGGGTAAGGGAGGGGTGTGAAGGGCTGGCCCCAGGGTGTCACCTCGGCTGCACAGGGAGGTGAGGGCGGGCAGCTAACTTTCTGGCCCCCTCAGGGAACGAGGTGATTGCAGTGGATTGGAAGGGCCTGAAGGATGTCGATCAAATCAACATGGACAGCACCAGCTCACTGCACGGGAGCAGCCTCCATCGGCCATCGACTGAGGTGAGACCTCACTCAGCCACCCCGAGTCTCTAGCTGCCTGCACTTCCTCAATTCCAGGGCAACAACCTAAACACTCCTTCAGACTGACACGTCTACAGAACATTTCTCACAACACATGCCAAGCAGTCCACACGGAGAACCCAGGCAGTGGTGTCAACCTCAGGAAAGCCCTCACATCCCACACTCGTGGAAGGCCCTCTGAGGAACGGGGCTTCCTTGCATTCCTGTGAGTGACTGGGATGCCTATTCCCTTTCCTCTCTCCACAGCAAACTCGAACTGATTTCTCCTGGGACGGCATCAACGTGAGTGCAGCTGCCCCCAGACCTCCCCATCCTCCCGAACTCCTCCTCCTTATCTTCTCCCTTGCACCTTCCAACGAGCACGGTATTCCTTGGCTCCAACAGGCACTGTGAGCCCTCACATTCTCAACCTGTGCCCCAGCTTTCCAGGGCACTGGGGGTATATCCCTCCTTGGGACTCTTGGGTATAGTAGCTTTCCTTATCATCTGCCCTAGCTCAAATACTTTTTCCTGGAAACCATGAACCTTCTCCAAGTATAAAGCACGCCCGTACCTTCTTATTTCTCTGCCCTTCCTCCCACGTTCCCAACCCAGCTCTCCATGGAGGACACCACTTCCATTCTTCCGAAGCTTAAGCGAAACTCTAACGCCTATGGCATTGGGGCCCTGGCCAAGTCGTCGTTCTCAGGTGAGACTCCCGATGTAGGAATGCCTTCAGACAAAATAATGCTGACAGACTCCTTGGCTCAGTCTCCCTGCTCCTTCGAGGTTGATGAAGACCCTCATCCTCACACCCTGACCTATTCACCCTTCTGTCAAGCCTCCCATCTTCCAGGCCATTCCCCCCACCACCCCATCTATGGAGTCCTTAGGGGAGCCTGCCCCAGTGGGATGGAGTCTCATGGGGCTGGGGTGGGAGGAATGGGGAGGGTCTGGTTATGGGTGTTGTGTGATATTCTGGAGGATGTGGGAAATGTCTGGCCCTGTAGGGATCTCGCGGAGCATGAAAGACCACGTGACAAAGCCCACAGCCATGGGGCAAGGCCGGGTGGCCCACATGATTGAGTGGCAGGGCTGGGGGAAGACACCAGCTGTTCAGCCACAACACAGCCATGAGGCCGTGCGCAGGGATACGGATGCCTACTCCGATCTCAGCGATGGCGAGAAGGAGGCACGTTTTCTAGCAGGTATGTGCACCCTAAAGCCTCAAGAGACACATTTTCAGGATGAGGTGGATGGCCTCCAACCTCATCCCCTGTGGCAGAATTAGCTCCATCCATATTTTGACCATAGATTCACATTTCCCAAACAGCTCTAATTCTAAATATTTTGATGTGCTAATTCAAATTAGTGCTCTTAAACATATTTTTATAATCATCTCAGAAAATGAGTGGAATTAGATGGGGATTTGTGGGTCCACCCATCCCAGATGCCTTCTCTCCTCATCATGAGACTGTCCAAACCCTGAACTCCCTCAAGTGCAGGAAAAAAAAGGGCAGGCCTTGGTCTTTGAAAGAAAGAAAGACCTTGGGGATTTCTTTTAGTCTTTGCCCCTTAGCATTTCGAGTCATGAATTCACCTACTAGACTCATTACTTGTGACAACCACTAGAAGATTAAGGGAACTGTGTGAGGAGATGGGAGGCCTACAGAAGAGGTTTAATTCCAGGAAAGTAGTGTAGGTCTGATAACAGGCATGCAATGTGCCTACAAGAGTGGCCAAGCCCTAGTGCAGGTCTAAATAAGATGCCTAGAAAGGGATAGGTCTGGAAGAGAAAGGAAGTATCGTTGTGTTGGTGATACGGGTGGGAGGAGAAATATCAGTGAAGAGGGTCACAAACATGTAGGGTGGGGGCCAGGGGCAGTACCAGCTTCAACGCACTCATGGATTTGACTAGAATAGGGATCCCATCCCTATAGGAAAAGTCTACCCATCCCCTTTTCCTTCCAATCCCTTGAACTTCCAGTTTTATATCATGGTGGACCCACAAGCCCACGATGCTCTCTTGGGGGTCTCTGTTGATCTTGAAATCTACTCTCTAGATTGCAATTCCTAAAAACCTCCAAAGATAAATTTCTGGAAATCCCGAATTTGAATCTCTTAGGATATCTCACCAGAAGACCCGTAACTCTTTCCCCTAGGAATCCTAAATCTGACTTTTTAGGAAGTCCCCCACAATACTCCATTCTCTGGGGACATACACAAAGGCTGTGCTGTCCAGTACATTAGCCACTGGCCTCATGTGGTTATTGAGAACTTGGTATGTGGCTCTTCTGAATGGAGATGTGCTTTTAAGTGTAAAATACCAGCTGGATCTCAAATGCTTCATATAAATAAAAGAATGTAAAATATCTCACTAATGACTTTTATTTCGATTATATGTTGAGATGAAAATCTTTTTATATATCGAATTAAATAAGTTCTATTATTTCAATTGATTTAACCTGTTTCTTTTTAATTTTAAATGTGGCAACTGGAAAACTTAAAATGATATAAGTGGCTTGCATGGTATTTCTACTGAACAATGCCGCACTAAGATGTCTTCCTACCCCACGCACGTGTCTAAAGATTTCGTGAGATATTTTGTGGTCGTTGCATTTCTTCCTGCAGGTGTCATGGAGCAGTTTGCTATCTCTGAGGCCACACTCATGGCCTGGTCTTCCATGGATGGTGAGGACATGAGTGTGAACTCCACCCAGGAGCCATTGGGCTGCAACTACAGTGACAACTACCAGGAATTGATGGAGAGTCAGGGTGAGAGATGTTCCGGAATCCAACCTCTGGAGCCTGCAAGGCCTCCCCAACTATCTCAGCTGCCTCCACTCAGCTCCATTCTTTTAAGACTTCCTTGTCCATCTCGGCTTTCCCATTGTCCTCCCTACTCCCTGTGCGCTCTGTGTCTTACTCCCGGTTCTCTGTGCTGTCTCTTGTGCTGTCTGTGCTGTCATTCCTGCTCTTGACATTTTGTGACCCCACTGACCCCCAGGATTCTTTTTCCAGATGCCCTGGCTCAAGCCCCCATGGATGGATGGCCTCACTCTTACGTGTCCCAGGGTATGTACTGTCTGGGGTCGTCAGATGCCTGGGAAGCCAGCGACCAGTCCCTCATTGCCTCTCCAGCCACAGGATCCTATCTGGGGCCTGCATTTGATGACTCACAACCCAGCTTGCATGAAATGGGACCTTCCCAACCGGCTTCAGGATACTCTGCTCTGGAGCCTCCACCTTTGCTGGGGGGAGACACTGACTGGGCTCCAGGGGTAGGTGCAGTGGACCTGGCAAGGGGCCCTGCCGAGGAGGAGAAGAGGCCATTGGCCCCTGAGGAGGAAGAGGATGCAGGATGCCGGGATCTGGAGTCACTTTCCCCAAGAGAAGACCCTGAGATGTCTACCGCTCTCAGCCGGAAGGTGTCTGACGTCACATCCTCAGGTGTGCAGTCATTTGATGAGGAGGAAGGCGAGACCAACAACTAGCTTCCTCCCCCAATGCCCTGCCGTCCACTCCCACCTGAGGGCCATGGCTGTGACCCATACATTCCCTCCCCCCAGCAGTACAGCTGAAACCGGGCAGACAACATTGGGGAACCCAGGAGCTTCCAGTCCTCTCCCGGAAATGGAGGACCAGGATGGGATTTTATCCAGGCTTACACTCTAGAAACCCACAGGCCTGGGAACTGAGACCTGGGCAACTAGATGGCCATGAGCTTGGTGTGACTGTGGAGAAGGACCTGGGCTGCGGGCTTCTGGGTCTGTGCTGACAAAGCCTCCAGTGTGTGCACCCTGAAGACGGGGGCAGTGCAGCTGTGCTCAAGACTGGATCTCAGTTCTTCACTCCCCGATTTCGTCTTCCAGGAGCCGTAACTGTGCTGTCTGAATGCCTCCTTTCTCCATTTCACTCTTGCTTTTCCCAACTCTGTTTTCTCTGGCTGTGGCCCCAGATCATCCTTACTGAGAGAACAGACCTTAGGGGCTGTTGGACATGGCTGGACAGGCACAGGGGAGGCTGCCTGAAGGGCACGTCCATGTGGAGAGTGGAGAGGCTGCCTCAGCGGGTCATTTGGCTTCTGAGATCAGGAGTCGAGGAGGAGGTGGACGTGGCAGCTGAGATCTACAGGGGGCACAGACGTGGTTCTTTCTATCAAGGCCTGCCCAGAGACAAGAGTCACTGAGGAGACCAAGAACAAACACAGCCCCTTGCTCTGGGATCTTGAATATCCCATGGCTGAAAGGAGGATCCTAAGGATCTGGGAAAAGACCCAGCTGGGGCTGGCTGCTCCAGCTCTTGCTTCCCTTTCAGCTTTCTTCCATCCCTGCTCCCGGAGCCTGGCCCTGAGGAGGGTGCGGGGACACCCGTCTTGGATACACCAACGCAGGATGCAGGTGTCGCCAACAGCGGGGGGAGCATGAGGGCTGTCTCCCCCTATCCACCCCTGTCCTCTGAAGCTGTTTACACTTTTCTCTTTGCCTTTTCTACATTTTTATAACTTCTTGGGCACTCAGGGTTGAGTGGGGTGGAGGGAGGAGTCCGGTGCTGTCACTCCCTCAGCCAGTCAGGGTTGCAGCTGAGGGCCAGGGTGGGCACTCGGCACCTTCTGCCCCTTCTTCAGCTCCTCCCAGGACTCCCAAACAGCTTCACAGCTGTCCTCCCTGCCTCCCCAGGCCTCCTACCGGAGGAAGACAGGAAAATTCGCGGATTCTTCTTTCCAGGATGGTGTATGGTGAGACACAAGCTTGCCCTCCCACACTTGGCATCCATGCTGGTGGGGACTGAGCAGCATATGCACCCCAGCACTACTGTAAGAGCACAGGCAGAGGACGGGCGGAGCGAAGCAACGGCGCTGTGGGCTGGAGAGCCCTTGGCCCTGCCACTGCCAGGGTAGCCCCTCCCCAGCCCTTGGCACAGGCAGAGTTTGGGTAGGAGAGAGAGGCCTAAGAGGCTCACTGCCCTATCTCTTTCTTTCTTCACACCCTTCCAAGGCTCCAGCTCCCAGGCTTGTGTCCTACCCACACTCTGTCAGGAGTTCTACCACTTGCATCCCCTGCTGGAAGGGAGCACTGTCGTCCTCTCCCAGCCTTGGGCACAAACTTTGCCCTCACCCCCAGGTCCCAGAACTTATTATTTTATAATGAGGAGGTTGAGAGTTGGGGTGTTTCTGTCCATCTATGATCCTGTTCCGCCATCAAGTTCATACTCTCCTACACACACTCCTGGGATGCAGGCAGGGCAGGGGTTCTGTGTCTTCCCTGGAAGGGGGACAGTGGTTATCCTGAGGCTGGTTTTTGGAGGAAACATGGGCTTAGGCAAGGTGAGCCAAGGCAGGTGCAGTCACCTAACTGAATCCTCCTGTACAGGGGAAGAGTCCTCTTGTACTTGCTAACATGTGCTAACTCCGTGTCCCAGGACCTCATTTCCAGGAACTCTGAGAGGTGGTTTAGCGTGCCCGCCCTGGCAGCTGTTCCCCACCCATCTCCTGCTGCAAGCTCTGGGGTTTTGCATGTTCATGTGACCTTCCTTCCTCGGGGTCCCTGGTTCCTCACCTTCTCCAATGTGTGCTATTCCCACATCACCTCTTCCTGTCATCTCATCCTCTCAGTGCCCATATTATCTCCCCAGACCACAGTGGACAGCTCACCCACTGAGTGCGTTCATTCATTACAGTTCCTTTTTGCTCAGGCCCGGGGGAGTTAGGAAAGGTAGACCACAGCAGCTTTCACTCCTCCTTCCCTTTCCCAAGGAAGCCACATGGTCCCTGACAAAAGATGACTAAAGGTCTGAAGGACTCTAGCAGGGTTCATACATGAACCTGGTGTCCCCAGGGTGCTGGCAGACCGAAGTCAGGTGGGGGTCTGTCTTCTGCAAGGAGCTCCCACCCGCTCTGAAGAGAGAGACTGAGGAGCTGGCCTGGGACCATCTTAGGACTCTTCTGGTGCTGGGGGCAGGGTGCATGGGGGTTGCTTATCGCCTATTTCAGGGGGTGGGGAGGGGCATGTGCAGGAAGAGGCTGCTGCGGGGTGGGAAAGGGTGGCTTTTCCTTTGGGGTTAAGGCTGTGCAGCACGTTTTACAGCAGTCCTGGAACAGGGCTGTTTTTATATTCTTGTGAATGAAACTGCTCTTGCTAAACGATTTTCTTTTTTTTGGGGGGGGTGCACTTTCATTTTCAAATGACTTTATTAAATGAAAATCCAAATCTTCCATTCTTCCCCTCCATTGCCCCCTCCACCCCCACACACCTTCCTTCTTGTCCTCGTGTTGAAGCGGGGATCCTGGGGAATGAGTAGTATCTTCTCCTCGACCTCACCTATACATCCCACACACCATCTTCCAGGTCTGGGAAATATCCATTTTTATGGCCAGTCTCAGCATGTTTTCTTAATGTGACATTCCCACCCCAGGCCCAAGAGAGATTCTATGACATATATTACAGAGAGAATTCTATATCAATATATATAAATATTATAGATTATGTACACAAGGGCATGGGCTCAAATGCCCACTGCCAGTCCCCTACCCAGGCTTCAGCGTCTCTCTTGGCCTGGGGAAGTGGGAGGGACGTGATGCTGGAGAAGGTTACAGGCTGTGTTCAATGACACTAAACAGAACATGGTGGCATCCTCTGGCTGTGACTGTCTTATTTGGGGGATGGAGGAGACTGGGAACAGGGGAGGCAAAGGAGGAGAATGTCGGAGTGGGGGCACAATGGCAGAATTAAGCAAAGCATACGGGATGGCAAGGTTTGGGGAGAAAAACCTTGGGTACGGAGCAAGGGTTTGGGGATGCTCACAACACCTGGCCTCCCTTTGTAGAGAAAGCGCGCTAATGGAGTGCACAGCCAGGCTTCCTGCTGCTGATCTGGGGAGGGTGAAGATGTGACTGTCCCAAGTGCAGGCAGCACTCAAGAGCCCTGCCATCTTGACGCTTAGCTCCTAACTCTCTACCCCTAGGAGAGGCATCTGAAGAACCAGTCTAAGAGGGGGCTGGTGTCTGAGTGACCCAGTGACCTAGCTGCTCTGAGCCCTGATTCTTGGCAGGAGAGGCCCTGGCTAGAGCAGCTCCAGGGCAGAGCTGACCTTTGGCAGGACAAGTCAAGAACTACAGTGGAGCCGGGCGCGGTGGCTCAAGCCTGTAATCCCAGCACTTTGGGAGGCCGAGACGGGCGGATCACAAGGTCAGGAGATCGAGACCACCCTGGCTAACACGGTGAAACTCCGTCTGTACTAAAAAATACAAAAAACTAGCCGGGCGAGGTGGCGGGCACCTGTAGTCCCAGCTACTCGGGAGGCTGAGGCAGGAGAATGGCGTAAACCCGGGAGGCGGAGCTTGCAGTGAGCTGAGATCCGGCCACTGCGCTCCAGCCTGGGGGACAGAGCGAGACTCCGTCTCAAAAAAAAAAAAAAAAAAAAGAACTACAGTGGAGAGAGGGAGGATGTGTTTCCTAGGGAGTAACCTGGACACTGGAGGGCGAGGGAGCTGTGCTGTGGAATAGAAGGTTTTCTGCCAGAGGGAGTCAGCGGACATCATGGGGGCACAATTGTTGGGCAACAGGGCACCTGCTTCTCTCAGTGCCCTAGTCACGGCCTGGCCTGGAGACGCATCGGGGTCAGAGGCAGATTGCAGGAGCGGACGTGGGCCAGCGCAGGGCTCCAAGAGAAGCGGCTGTGGCTGGCCTGGAGGCACATTCTGGGGTGGTCAGTGCCTGAGGCCATAGGATGGTCCCATCCCCTCCTCCAACATGGCACTTACAGGGCCACAGTCGTTCTGGGCCTCCCCTCACCCCACCTCTTGTAGACACTGAGGCACAGATAGCACAGTACTGGGACAAGAGCACTGGGGAATTGTTGGGGGCAGCGGGAGGCAGAGAGAGGCCGGGGATTCCCTTGCTGCATACCAGGAACACTCAGGAAGCCCCATGGAATATCAGGGGTGCTTTGCTAGGGTTAGGGCCACCTGCCTGGCTGGGAATGGGGAGAATAGTCGAAATAATTGACCAAGGCTCCTCCCTGCCTAAATGCTGATTCCTCCTTTAAGACTATCACTATCACATTAAAAAATTCCTGGAAGAGGCATGGAATGTGGCATGACCTCGCCACATTCAGGATGCACCCTGCCCCACACAAGTTCACCCTCAGACTGGGCCTCTGGACAGTCTTTATGAGGAGGTCGTGGGAGGGGGTCAAAGGATCAATTCATCCTCATCCTCCTCGTCTGTGGATCGCAGGCTGGGGCCCTGCAAGATGTCAGCCAGCTCCTCTTCCAGCCCTGGACTCTCCACCAGTTCCAGCTCCTCCAGCTCACCCTCTACCTTGCCTGGGGCCAGGGAGAGAGGGGGCTCTGGGGAAGGGGATGGCACAGGGGTCTCTGGGGAGGCAGCAGTCACATCCCCTGCTCCAGTGGCTCCAGGCCTATCCTCAGGCAGGTTCCAGTTCTCTGCAGAAGGTGGGGGTCCCCCGGGACTCTTTCGAGTTGAAGTCGTGTTCCGGAAGCTGGCAAGGGGAGGGCGGAGCTGCACCCCAGACTTGGTGTGCCCCTCAATGGCCTTCTGTAGCTGAAGAGCAGTGGGAAAGGAAAAGCGGGTAAAAAGTTGGAAAAAGAAAAAAGATGGGGGCAGTGAGAGACAAACAGAAAAGAACAGATACAATGAAAGGACCAAAGAACAGGAAAGATACAGAGTGGCAAAAGGGGGAGAAAGAGAAACAGACAATAAGGAACAATCAGAGAAAGAAGACAGAAAAAGGACAAGAAAAGGGGCGTGACAAAAGATCCACCTGCCCAGACTCAGACCCTTGGGTGACCTCTTCCTTCCTAGTGACCACCTGCAGCCACATCCCCCCACTGCCCTATTTCCACAGCTTTCCCCAAAGCACATCCCCGAGAAACAGTGACTCATGCCTGGAACCCCATCTGAAACCCACACTATCTACGGAAGATCACATGGGCCCCATCTGGGGTGGAGAATTCCATTCCCTTCAGGGCTGTGGCCATAACAGGCTTTGTAGTCTCCTCCACCTCGGCTGGCTGCTTCCTCTACCCTCTCCAATCTCTGCATAAGAAATGGAGAGGGGAGCCGGGCCCTGGTGGCTCACATCTGGAATCGCAGCACTTTGGGAAGCCGAGGTGGGCAGATCACCTGAGGTCAGGAGTTCGAGACCAGCCTGCCCAACATGGTGAAACCCCATCTCTACTAAAAATACAAAAAATTAGCCAGGTGTGGTGGAAGGCACCTGTAATCCCAGCTACTCAGGAGCCTGAGGCAGGAGAATCAGTTGAACCTGAGAGGCAGAGGTTGCAGTGAGCTGAGATCACACCACTGCACTCCAGCCTGGGTGACAAGAGCGAAACTCTGTCTCAAAAAAAAAAAAAAAAAAAAGAAAAGAAATAGAGAAGGGAATCTGAGGGGACTTCTGAGATGCTAATATCCCCTCTGTCCTCCCTGCATCCCCTTATCTTGTGCCCAGCCTCCCTCCTGCTGCTCAAATGGGACACATCGTGATTACCTCCTCCAGGGCCAAGACGCCCCTGAGCTTCCCCATGCTGGTCACATAAGCGAGGTGGAGGCCGAGGAGTGAGAACAGGGTGTGAGTCTGAGGATGAAGAGCACAGGTCAGTGCATGTTCCTTGCCCCACAGCTCTCCTGCCTTCCCTGCAGCCCTGAGCAGTCAGCAAAGGACTCACCTTGTGCAGGGTTGTCTGCTCCACCAGCTGGAAGGGAGACTGGTCAATACAGCAGGAATCAAAACAGACAGGTTGGCTCAGCTGCTCCTGCTCCCAGGCCTCAATCTGTCAGCCAGAGGATGAAAGTCACGAAAATCACGGAGCCTCCTTTCACCCCAGATACCTGATTTTGATCCCAAACAGCCCTCCTAGCCCCTGCCCAGAATCTGGAAACATGCAAGAACTGATCACAGATCCCCCAGATCAGAGGCCCTCCTCCTTCTTCCCGGGGACAGAGCCTCTCTGCCCTTCCTCATCAGGAACCCCCAACCTACCCTGCAACCCCCAGGTACCCAGAACATCCCTCCCTGTTCTAGGCCCCAACTCTCCCATCCCCTGGCGTCCCAAACATTTGTTATTCCCAACCTATCTTTCCCATCTATTTTCCACGACTACTATAAGATGCGGGGCTCCAATCAAACCAGACTGCTTTCTGCTCTTCAAACACGCCTTCCCCTTTGTCTTTGCTGTTCTGACCATCTAGAGTTCCTTTACCTGCCCTACCCTGTCCCTGCAGTGTACGTATTTCCTGACTCTCCCAATCAGACGTGCTTCTCCCTTTTTTAAATTCTCATAGTATTAGCTGGTCTCACCTTTTCAGAAATGACATTGGCCATACTTCCTGCTGTATTGGCATTTGTCTTACCTTTGCACTTGTCTTGAGTGTTATGTGGTATTGGCTGCTGTATATTGTGAAGAAACTAGCACATCACCTCTCATGCAGAGAACCATGGTGAGTACTTGTTGAAACTGAAGAGCTATACTGGACCTCATGGCACTTAGTTGACTTTAGCAAAGCCGGTTTTTGTTTGTTTGTTTTGGTCTATGACAGAAGCATTAAGGCACAAAGGCCAACCATCCTCTTCACTTTAGATATGCACACCAAAATTCCCAAGAGTCCAAATAATCCATTACATCTCTGGCTCTCATACATTTTTCTAAAATTTCTAAAATCTCTTTTCAGTCAGTACCCTCTGAATGATCTAGAACTCTATTTTCCTATTTGTCCAAATCTATACCTCTCAGACTTCAGAGAACATCACCAAAGGGCATTATATAGATTTAGGATCTAGTGTGTAGCCCATAGTGATGCTCACTCCACCTGTCCTGTCCTGATATTTCTGGATTACAATCATGCCTCCTCTATACTCTCATCTTCCTGACTAATGGATTACACAGGGTTACATAGCATAGGATGGATGACCACTTAGCAGGTGTGTTGTAGAGAAGATTTAGGTATAGGATGGGGGCTAGACCTTGCCAACCATGGTTTGGTCCATCCCGTCCTCTTGGTCTTTTCTATGATAATCTGTGGCCTTACGTTCCATTTTTGCCTTTCCTTAACAATAACGCGGCAACATTTTCAGTGAATGATTATCAAGTACATCCTCTTTGCCAAGCATTATTCTAATTGCCATACCCATCTTAGCTCATTTAATCTTCTCCAATAACTCTATCATTATCTTCACTTTATAGATGAGGAAACAGGCACAGTGTGGAAGTCATTTGCCCAGGATTACACAGTCAGTAATTGGTGGAGCTGGGCTTCTAACCTTGACTGCTGTTTGCATTCCAGGTACATCTCCAGCTTTTGCCTAAGGGATGCAGGATGTTGCTGTTGAGGCTGATGTGTTCCACTACTTGAATAAGCTCGGTACCAGTTAGAAACAGAGCTCTGTGTGTACTCCAGAGTATGCAGAATTAAACAAATCCTAGTAGGGACTTCTGGCAACACATAATTGAATCTTTCAATATTCCCATACTGCCCCCATTCCATTTTTTGGTCAATATCAACATCTTGATATTGTCAAGGGTATCATCTGGTCTGAAAATTGTGTTCAAAATATCCTGAATTTCAACTCCTATTGGATCTTATCCCTCTAAAATGTCTCAGTGGGTCACATGGGAATTGGTAGGTCCTTGAAGTCCTCCCTGGGAAAGACATAAGCTAGAAATGATGGTCTATCTTACTTTTAATCCCTGGCTGCACTTTATTTCCAGTGGTCATTTGATAGCCACACTGATAAACTAGTTGGTTTTCAATCTTTGGAGCATTAAATTAAAAAAAAAAAAAAGAAAAAAAGAAAAGCTTATTATTATTGGTTTGAGCAGCCTAACAAAGTACTCCTTAATTGCAATTATGGCCTTTCTGATTTCTGCTTGTGGGCAGAAGGAATAGTTGTTCCTTTCCCCCTGTGATCATCTATTTGAGTTTTTCACAAGTCATTTGTCAGAAGTGTGTGTGTTTTGAGGGGTGGGGAAGGTTTTCCTTCTCTCTTGTCACTCACAACACCCTCCTCCAACCCTGTAATGCTTTTCATTGTCAGCACATATATATTCCAGATATCCAATAAGATGTTTACTTAAAAATAATATCCGCTGTGTGTGTTTGTCAGCTTCATACTTTACAAGCTTTATGTTTTCAGCGATTGCAGCAAACTGTGCATTCTTTTACCATATGGAATAGTTGCCAATGGATTTTTTGTTGTTCCTCCACAACCCCTTGGTATGTTCTGATCTGGACCCTTCAGCTACCTGCTTCCAATCACTATTCCACATTCTGTTCCCTCCTCACAACCAAGTGCATTCAGAATGCTTGACTTTTCTCTCTTGAAGATCGGATAACCACCTCTTTTAGGAAAGTAGGCATTTGTTTGTCCCCATGAGGAACCATGGTCATTATTTTCTTCCTTTTTCAATTCTTCCCAGTAGCAATGCCTAGCATTTTCCAGTTGTTCACTATCTCAGGGCCCTGATCAATCCAGCACAGTAACCTCCACCAGGGGCAGATTTCCTCATTTTGGTCATTTTGGTTTTTTTTTTTTCTTTTGCTTTTTCTTTTCTTTTCTTCTCTTTTCTTTCTTTTTTTTTTTTTTTTGTGGGTTTTTTTTTGTTTGTTTGTTTTGTTTTGTTTTTGAAGTGGAGTCTGGCTCTGTCACTCAGGCTGGAGTGCAGTGGTGCGATCTCCCCTCACTGCAACCCCCGCCTCCCAGGTTCAAGTGATTTTCGTGCCTCAGCCTCCCAAGTACCTGGGATTACAGGCGTGTGCCACTATGCCCGGTTAATTTTTGTATTTTTAGTAGAAATGGGGTTTCACCATGTTAGCCAGGCTGGTCTCAAACTTCTGACCTCAAGTCATCTGCCTGCCTCAGCCTCCCAAAGTGCTGGGATTACAGGCGTGAGCCACCACGCCCAGCCTCCCATTTTAGTTTTGATGTTCTTCTTCCATGTTGCTGTTTTAGTGCCAGCCTCCTGGTGACATTTTACCTCCATTAAAGCTTTGCCTGATCCAGAAAGTCCATAATCTCTAAAAGATCTGGGGCTCATCTTAGCACCATGGCCCCATTTACTCATGGAGGCTCAAAGTTTTTCTCCTGAAATGACGTGTCCCTCCGAGAACACCTCCATGTCCCACCACACACTCATTAATCTCTCCATAATCATCCTTATTTCCATCCTGTCAAAATACTTCCCATCTAGATCACATTCTATTTCACGACAACACAATAAAGAAGGTAGAAACAAATTAGAAATATCTTCATTTGACAGAACAATCTACCCCAGATTTTGGTTTCCCTTACTCACCTCTTCAGGTGACATGTTATCCACTAAATCTGTGGAATCCTAGAGAAGAAAGACACAGGTCCAAGTTCTTTCCCTCTTCTTCCCATGGTTCATATGGTTCCCAATGAAACAATAGCCATCCCTCCCTGGCCAGGACCACCGATGCCTCCTTTCCATTAATCATCCCTTCCATATGATTAAACTCCTCCTCCTTGGTGGGGTCTCTGCCTTCCTGATTTAAGAACCATGGGTTTCTCACTCTTCAAGGGTAGGCTCCCTTTCCCCTCTATCCCAAACACATCTCCTCACCTGGGTTGCTTTCTTCTTTGGGGGGCGAGCTCTGCCCAGCAGGCAGTGAAGCAAGGACTGGAAGATGGAGGGTCTTTGACCTGACAGGAAAGGTGAGGGGATGGAAATGGACACAAAGCAACAGGAAACGGCTAGGGGCCCCACGCAGTGCCTGACACTTGCCTCCAAAGAGCTGCACTTCCCAGATACCTCACCCTCTCTTCCACCATCCTAAATCACCCTCTGCTCCCACTCCCTGGGACAGTGACAAGGAGAATTGATGAATAAGAACCCTTTCCTCCTTCAATCCCCCAGCCTCACCCCCGACCCTACACCACATAGGAGTTGCATGCAGGTCAAGGTCAGGTCCAAGTGACCAGAGATAACCCACAAGGCATGAGTTGGGGTGCATGAGGGAAGAGCGTCACCTGCAGGCTCTGGTGCTTCCGGCTGCTGTTTGTGGCCAGGCAGAGGCCCATTGGGCTCTTCTGGGGACAGAGGGGCAGTAGTAGAGGGATGGAGAGGAAGGGAAGGAGGAAGCTGTAAGGAAGAGTAAGAAGTCTCAGCCTGGAAGCAGAGACTGCCTGAGTGGGCCTTCACTGCCTTTACCAGTCGGTGGATGTTCTGGGAAAGCGAACTCTGTTCTTCCCCCCAGTTCAGAAATTCCTGTATCCCTTTGAATTGTCGAGACCATCATCTGCAACCTTATCTTCTTTAGTCCCTGGACCCAGAGGCACTGGTCTCTTTGGTACCTGACCCAGAATTTCTGGCTTTCTCAGTTACCAGCCTCTCCCCTCCCTCTTCCCACTACTTTCAGGGAAACTACCCCTGTCCCAAGCCCAGCCCAGCCCAGACGACGCTTTTCCTTTTGCCCCTGATCTATTCCACTCCCTGGCCCTTCCTGGCGCGGTCACCTCGCTCTTCCCAGAGACGTCTTCGTCTTCATCCTCATCCACAAAGGCGAAGGACTCGGGCCGCCCTGGAGGCGCGCCGGGGAGCCCCTCCCCAGCCAGCCGCGCCTTCCCGTCGTAAGGCAGCTCCGACAACTTCCGCGCTATCTCCTGGGCCGCGCGCAGCCTGCGCTCAGGACACAGGTGGCGCTGCAGGAGGGCCTGCAGTTCCGACCGCTCCACCGAGCCCAGCAGGATCATTGAATCTGAGGGAAACCCACGCCCTGCCTGAGCGCCCCCTCCAAGCCCTCCCGCACCACCGCGCTCCGCATCCCTGAGAAGGAACGGAGAAGCGCCACCCCGCCCACCCGCCCACCCCCCGCCCCGTCCCCACATCTTTCTCAGCTTCCTACAAACTCATTTTAAGAATCCTGCAAGATTAACCTCACTCCCTTTTATTTCATCCATTTAGCAGGTACGGGGCCAATTCCAATTAGTAGAGCACTAATTGGGCTAATTTGTACTTATTTTGATGAGGCCTTATATAGATTTCAGATAGGTGAGCTGATAATTAAGTAGGCGAACCAATGCTGTCCAAATAAAAAGAAACATGAGAAGCCATTTAAATAAGCTGAGACGTGAATCACGCTTTGAAAGAACTCTATAAGCAATACAAACATTATATCTCTCCCTGGAAGAAGGGAAACAAGGGAACTCTCCCTGTTGTATCTGACATTTCATCATTTAAAAAACCTGGGCCGGGCGCGGTGGCTCACGCCTGTAATCCCAGCACTTTGGAAGGCCGAGGTGGGCGCGTCGCCTGAGGTCAGGAGTCCGAGACCAGCTTTGGCCAACATGGTGAAACCCCATCTCTATTGAAAATACAAAAATTAGCTGGGCGTGGTGGCAGGCGCCTGTAATCCCAGCTACTCGGGAGGCTGAGGCAGGAGAATCGTTTGAACCCGGGAGGCAGAGGTTGCAGTGAGCTGAGATCGCACCACTGCACTCCAGCCTGGACAACAAGAGCAAGATTTTGTCTAAAAAACAAACAAACAAACAAACAAAAACAAAAAACCCTGCTAGGATAAAAACAAAATGCCTACTTTTCCTGAGAAGGTTCTTTTATATGATTATAGAAATTCTGCTACTATAATTAACATTTTTATTAAGTTTTAAGGCCATGACATTGCAGCAGTGTTATGGAGATGAATTCTGCTGTTAGGTCTCAGTCATTATTATGAAAACCTTGCACCTCACTTCTTGGCTGTGTCCCTGCTCTAATAAAGAGCCTCTGCTGTAGAACATGGAAGGTATCTGAGATTTGGGAAAATATTTGAATTAATCCAATTTGAGAAATTTGGATATTCTGATTATCAGAAATCAGAACTAACAATCTTAATGGCTCTAAATGACCCTACATAATTTTTCTTAATTACACTAATTCAAACACTAGGAAAGAGTTCATTTAATATCTAGTAGATACCTATAACAAGGCACTCTGGGCATATAGAATCCATAGACTCTATTCTCAAGGAATGCCCACCTAGTGAGGAAGACAAGATACAGATATATAAACGACAATAAGAAATCATACAAAGCAGGATGAGGTGTCAAAGGATGGTGAAGGCAGAGAAATGTGAAATTATTGTTTACTAAAAACCATTCACTCCTCCATATGAAACAGTTCCAGCCAGGCGCAGTGGTTCACGCCTGTAATCCCAGCACTTTGGGAGGCTGAGGCGGGTGGATCGCCTGAGGTCAGGAGTTCGAGACCAGCCTGGCCAACAAGATGAAATCCCGTCTCTACTGAAAATACAAAATTAGCAGGGCATGGTGGTGTGTTCCTGTAATCCCAGCTACTCGGGAGACTGAGGCAGGAAAATTGCTTAGAACCCAGGAGATGGAGGCTGCAGTGAGCTGAGATGTTGCCATCGCAGTCCTGCGTGGGCAACAGAGCAAGGCTCTGTCAAAAAAGAAAGAAAGAGAGAGAGAAAGAAAGAGAGACAGAGAAGGAAAAAAAGAAAGAAAGAAAGAAAGAAAGAAAGAAAGAAAGAAAGAAAGAAAGAAGGAAAGAAAGAAAAAGAGAGAAAGAAGAAGAAGAAGGAGGAGGAGGAGGGGAAGGAAGGAAGGAAGGAAGGAAGGAAGGAAGGAAGGAAGGAAGGAAAGAAAGAAAGAAAAGAGTTCCAACTCTTCCATAAGTTGGGCATTAAAGAACAAGCAGGACTTACTTAAGCATCAAATGGAACCATGTAAGAAGCTATGGGATTTACATCAATTGTCATTATTCATGGATTCCCTATTTGTGAATTCAGCTAGTCACTAAAATATATTTGTAACACAAAACCAATAGTAGAGGTGCTTTCAGTGTAATTTGCAGACATGCATAGAGCAACAAAGATTTTTAGTTGCCCGATGCCCCAGTTCGCAGCTGAAGTTGAACAAAGCAGTGCTCTACCTTCTTGTTTCAGTTTTCACACCGTAAACAGGTGCTCATTTTGTAGTCTATTTAATGCCATCCTTTTTACATTTTTGTGCTTTGTGTTGGTGATTTTGTTGCTAAAAATGGCCACCAAATATATGTCAAAGTGCTGTCTACTGTTCCTAGTGCAAGAAGGCTGTGATGAGCCTTATTGAGAAAATATGTGTGTTAAGTAAGCTTAATTCAGGCAAGGGTTATAGTGCCGTTGGCCACAAATTCAATATTAATTAATCAACAATATCTATGAAATAAGGTGTCTTTACCAGAAACACACATACAACAAGGTTATGTATTGATTGGTTGATGGAAATGTGACCAGAGACTCACAGGAATCCAGGCCTGCATTTTTCCTAGGAGCAATTGTTCAGTATAGTATTTGAACTTAATACTTAATTGAACGTGACTACCATGAATTATGAGAATTGACTGTATTTAGTGGGTTTTTTTTTTTTTTTTTTGACAGAGTTTCATTCTTGTTGCCCAGGTTGCAGTACAATGACGTGATCTTGGCTCATTGCAACCTCCGTCTCCCGGGTTCTAATTACAGGCATGCGCCACCATGCCCGGCTAATTTTGTATTTTTAGTAGAGACAGGGTTCCTCCTGTCTTTGGTCAGACTGGTCTCGAACTCCTGACCTCAGGTGATCCGCCCACCTCGGCCTCCCAAAGTGCTGGGATTACAGGCATGAGCCACCATGCCCAGCCCTTTTAATTGGATTTTTAACTGTCTTTTTGTGCTTGTGTATGGCTTAATTTTTCCTTCCTTGTACATAGCACATTGGATGGCCCCTAAAGACAAAGCCCCCACCACGGGGCCTCCTCTACCTCTATGTGACACTTATTCAGGTCATTAGCTCTGGAGTCTGCTTCTTTCCTTCCCACTGACCTTTTGAGTCAACCAGTGGTAAAGTCTTGACTGTGGTGGTCTGGAGCAGGGTTCGCAACTCCCCATATGTGTAAGAAGCTGAAACAAACTTCACATCACGTACCATGATGTCCTCAACAAAGATGGTATATTTACTATGGAGGGAGAAAGCATGGTGGGTTAGCCCCACCATATACCTATCCCTTCCATTCCTCCCATAAGATTTGCCATACTTTCAGTCACTCACAATATCTATTAAATGCATGAGAATATAATAATAATTTAAAACAATGTTTCCAAACATTAACCCTAAGCTCAATCTCAGCCTCTGAACCTCCCACTCTCCCCATCAGATCTGAACTAATTCCATCTAGTGCCCCTGACCTGAGCTGGTTCCAGCCAAGGTCAGGCAAGTAGGGTAGCTTCTTGACCTGGATGATGCTGTCATAGAGAGAGGGCTGCAGGCTCTGAGCCACCATATTGGCCAAGATAACAGCCACCATCATGGGCAGGATGTGAGCAATCTGACCCGTTAATTCGAAGCAAATCACAGCTGTGGAGACTGTGTGGGACACGGCACCAGTCAGCGCTGCTGCTCCTAGAATGACACAGGAATGCACCTGTAGGTTAGGACTACCGTTCTTAGCATGGAGGACATATGGGGATGGGATGGGAATAACACGGAATGAGAGACAAGATCCTGGTCAGTGCCAACACTCATAATGATTTGTCAAGAATAGGGACTAGAATACTGAACTCTTAGGAAATCATCATTTTGATCTCATTCTATAACCTTCACCAAGTTACAAAATCTTTGTGTGCGCCAAAATTTTCATTTATAATATGAAGATAGTGATGTCCTATCCATTCCTTGCTTTTAAAAGTTTGGATGATTATTCACTGAGCATTTTATTTTATTTATGTTTAATTATTATTATTATTTGAGACAGAGTCTCACTCTGTCACACAGGCTGGAGTGCAGTGGTGCAATCTCGGCTCATGGCAACCTCCACCTCCCAGGTTCAAATGATTTTCCTGCCTTGGTCTTCCAAGTAGCCAGGACTACAGGCATGCACCACCACACACGTCTAATTGTTGTATTTTTAGTAGAAACAGGGTTTGCCATGTTGGCCAGACTGGTCTCAAATTCCTGGCCTCAAGTTATCCGTCTGCCTCAGCCTCCCAAAGTGCTGAGATTACAGGCGTGAGCCACTGTATCAGGTCTCTTCACTGAGCATTTTACAACTCAGTTATGACATTTTTTTTTTACGTTGGGCTTTAGGTATTAATGCCAAGAATTAATGAGTAAATAGAGTGGAAACCCAAGAATCGTGCTGTGGACTTGGAGCAATGAGACTTGTGTCAGATCCTGCTGTTACTATTTCTCAATGGAATGAGTAGAGCTTAATTCCTCTGGAATCCCATGCTCTCAACTATAAAGTGAAAGGGGTCATTTAGATGATTTCTAAGGCCCTTGTAGATCTGAAACTTTATAATTCTATAAGCTCCCTGAAGATAGAATCTATCTTGTTAATTTTTGGTTGTTTTCCCACTAACCAAAATAGTCACTTGTGCATTAACTATATTTCTTATTTAAATATGGAAGAGATACCCTATGGGGAAAATGTAGAGGAAGGCACATATGAAAATGTAACAAGAAAAAGTCAGCTGTGCGTGGTGGCTCATGCCTATAATCCTAGCACTTTGGGAGGCCAAGACGGGTGGATGACTTGAGGCCAGGAGTTTGAGACCAGCCTGGCCAATATAGTGAAACCCCATCTCTACTAAAATTACAAAAATTAGCCAGGCATGGTGGCATGTGCCTGTAATCCCAGCTACTTGGGAGGCTGAGGCAGGGGAATCACTTGAGCCCAGGAGGCAGAGGTTGCAGTGAACCCAGATTGTGACACTGCACTCCTGGGCAACAGAGCAAGACTCTGGAAAGAAAAGAAGAGAAGAGAGGAAAGAAGGAAGGCAGGAAGGCAGGAAGGCAGGCAGGCAGGAAGGAAGGAAGGCAGGAAAGCAGGAAGGAAGGAAGGAAGGAAGGAAGGAAGGAAGGAAGAAAGAAAGAAAGAAAGAAAGAAAGAAAGAAAGAAAGAAAGAAAGAAAGAAAGAAAGAAAGAAAGGGAGAGAGCAAGCAAGAAAGCACCACAAAAGGGAAATATAGGGAGGAATGACACTACTGGATATTGCATACAACATGCTTCAGAACATAAACAATCACAGGATGTGTATACAAGGAAATGTTCACAAGGGAGGCATGTGTACCAGGAAGTCATGAAGTTGGGGAACAAGAGCAGTGACCCTCATTGATGAAAGAGGCTTTTATAAAGAAACTATGTCAGGTGAGCAGGGTACCAAGTGAGCTAGAAAGCTGGTCAGCAATTCTCTATCTAGGGAAGGCATGGCCTGAGATGCTATGGAATTTTGGTGAGGAAGGGAGGAAGCACAATAATCCCAGGATTCTATTGGTGTTAGGCATAGCTCTATCTTAGAAGTCATTTTAGAATAAAGAAACTAGGGCTCAGAAGCAGCTATCTTGCTTCATGGTCACTGATAACAAGCAGCAGGAGAAATCTAGAGCTATGTTTCTTAGCTCTTAGTCCTGTGCTCTTAACTCCCCATCAATATAAACACGTCTCAGGTTGAGTCAATCGCCTGCAACCTGAGCCAATCACCTGCATTGTTGGTTCCATGATTCCTAGGAAGGAAAGATAGAACCCTTATCAAACATCCAGACACAATCCTAGAATCTTACGATCTCATTTGATCCCTATGACCCTTTTCCACATGAGGAAACTAAGGCTCACAGAAGTTCAATAAGAAATAATGAGAGTCAGAGTCATAGGTATGTTATCTGAGTATAAGTCGAGTTAAGTAGCACTAAATTAAAATTGTATTGTGTAGCCTAGAATGAAGATCCAATGGGAGAGTTTAAGTGTGGGAGTCTGGAGTACTCAATGTTTGATTACAGGGAAGTGGGAATGTTTCTCACCAATTACTGCATAGCCCCCAGGTAGGATCTTATAGATGATGTCATCAAATAAAATACCATCAGGAAACAGCATGGCCATGATCTCTCCTACCAGCCTTCCAAATGCAGCTCCTAGAGGAAAGATAAAAGGAAGTTATCTGAAAAAGATAAAAGAAAGATAAAAGGTGTTACAAGATCCAAGTTCCTTGCTCTCTGTTTGCAGAACCAATCTCTCCTGGGGTGTTAAGACGAAATACAAACTCCCAGCATCCCGGGCCTTTCCTTATGTTTCCGGTATCCTAGATTGCAACTCTGAGTCAGACCCCAGGCTTCCCATCAGAACTTACCTAGCACAAACACAGGCATGAAGCCTCCGCAGGGTATGGGCATAGTGGTGGCCACGATGGACATCCAGAACTGCAGTAAAAAGAAGCGTTGGAATACCCTTTCAGCTCTGCCCAGTAGACATGCACACACACATCTCCCTTCCCACTATCCTTTCTGCAGAAATCCTGGGATAGCTGATCCTTCTGAAAGCCACTTTGTCTGTCACCCTTCTTCCAGAAACAAAAACCATAGAGCTCTCAGGCTAAGAGATTACCAAAGACAATACAGGAATACTATCAGAAGTTTCCTCCAGATGACTAGACCAAATCCCTCCTACTTTGAGTGCCTGTATTTGCCTTTCAGCAGTCTAGAACAAAGAATGGAGCCCCAGAGTACTTCTCTTTCTCTGCCCCCAAAGAGCCCCAGCCCACTGTACCCTTTTAGTCCAGAAAGTTTGCCTCAGCAAATAGCCTGAAACTCTTGAAGCTGGAGGAAAACGTTTCCTACTCAGGTTATATTTCTGAAAAGGAGCTCCAGTTCTTTCTTTATTTTTTATTATTTTTATTTATTTATTTATTTATTTTGAGACAGGGTCTTGCTCTGTCACCCAGCACCCAAGCTGAAATGCAGTACCATGATCTCGGTTCACTGCAACCTCTGCCTCCAAGGTCCAAGCTATTTTCCTGCCTCAGCCTCCCGAGTAGCTGGGACTATAGGTGCATGCCATCATGCCCACCTAATTTTTTTGTATTTTTAGTAGAAATGGAGTTTTGCTATGTTGACCAAGCTGGTCTTGAACTCCTGACCTCAGGCAATCTGCCCGCCTCTGCCTCCCAAAGTGCTGGGATTACAGGTGTGAGTCACTGCGCCCGGTCGAGGAGCTCCAGTTCTAAGTGTCAGACATTTAAAGTCTGAGTGACTTATCTGATCATTCATAGAACCATCTATATGGTGAAACTCACAGTAGAACCTGGAGAGAAGACTTACTTGCCTGAGCCACTTGCTTTAATCATCAGATCACCTTAAACAAGGATCAAAATTTAGATCTGTCCTGGCTATATACTGGAAGGGTAAATTGAGAAAGCTTGATAAGTCAGCCAATGTAATGGAAAAAAAAAAATCTCTAAGGCCAACTTTGTAAGCTAGAACTCCAATAGAAATTGAGACAATTTTACAAAAAGCAATATGTACATTTTGAGGCAAAGAGTACAAAAGAATTGGCCGGGCGTGGTGTCTCACACCTGTAATCCCAGCACTTTGGGAGGCCGAGGTGGGTAGATCACAAAGTCAGGAGCTCGAGACCATTCTGGCTAACATGGTGAAACCCAATCTCTACTAAAAATACAAAAAAAAAAAAAAAAAAAAATTAGCCGGGCGAGGTGGCGGGCACCTGCAGTCCCAGCTACTCGGGAGACTGAGGCAGGGGAATGGCGTGAACCCGGGAGGTGGGACTTGCAATGAGCTGAGATCTTGCTTCTTGCCACTGTACTCCAGCCTGGGCGATGAACGAGACATGGTCTCAAGAAAAAAAAGAGTACAAAAGAATTGAGAAATAGAATGGAAAAAAGGCTAGTTGTTGAACTTTTTAAATATCTGTAAAAGAAATAAAAGTATGAGATGTAATATGTAAGCAAAGCAACAGGTTTATATGGCCCTTCCAAAATAAGTAAACCACTCTCAGAAAACGATCTCAAACTTATTAGGTACAAGAGGGTAGCAGCTAAAGTTCAGACAAACTGCCAAGGTGAAAGTATTCACAGTTTTAGAGCTGTGCGCAATTGCACTGTAAGCTAATGAGAAATATATTTCTTAATTTTCAGAACCTTAGGAAGAAAGAACTTCCCCCATCCAGGGCTGACCTCAGGAAGCAGTGACAAAGACTCAGAGAAAGTCTCATCCCAGAAGCTCTGAGATGAGGCAAAACACATACTCCTTCATGTCAGAATATGACTATTCAAAACAGTTGAGAACTATAAAAATAAATGGGCAAAATGAAGAGAATAGAGACTGAGAATCCCCTGAGGACAGAGAGTGCATCTTGTCCTTTCTGCCTTCCCTCTGCACTGGTGCATAGTGCTCAGTAAATGTAGGAACGATGTAGCTAGGTGAGTAGGTAGAAAGGAAGGAAGGAAAGAACGAAGATGGGCTGAACAAATAGTATTCATGCAAAGCAGGAAAAGCTTCTCAGAGCTAATATTTGCTAAAACACTAAAGAGTAATGCTCATCCAAGGGAACTTGTTTTAAAATGCAGATGACCAGACCCCACTGGAAGCTACCACATCAGATTGTCTGCAGATAGGGCTATAGGCACTTGTAATTTAAGCTTCTTAAGTGATTCTGACATTTAACAGTTGGATACCCCTTGAACTATCCTGTACCATCTCTTTGAAATAAGTATGTAAGAGCCATAAGAGATTTTGTAGGCTCAGGTTAATCTGAAAGCTCTAGCAATTCATATAACAGGTGACCAATAGGTCTGATTTCAGAGGATGTACTTTAGATTATCCTCCAAGATATGTGTAAGAACAGTATTAAGATCAGAGGACATTGAAGTTATCAACTCCGGTAGTAAGGATGTTGACACATGAGATTAGCAAACTTTTTTTAGCTATTGGCACGTGAAAGAAAAGATCCAGAAGTAATGTGAAACACAAATAACTCCCAAGACTGTCTTCTTTCTTTCTCTTTCTTTTCTTTTTTCTCTTATCTTCTCTTTTCTTTTCTTTCTCTCTCTTTCCTTCCTTCCTTCCTTCCTTCCTTCCTTCCTTCTTTCCTTCCTTTTTTCCTTCTTTTTTTTTTTTTTTGACAGAGTCTCACTCTCTCACCCAGGCTGGAGTGCAATGGTGTGTCAGCTCACTGCCACCTCTGACTCCTGCATTCAAGCAATTCTCCTGCCTCAGCCTCCCAAGTAGCTGGGATTACAGGCACCTGCCACCACACCCAGGTAATTTTTGTATTTTTAATAGAGACGGGGTTTTGCCATGTTGGCCAGGCTGGTCTCAAACTCCTGACTTCAGGTGATCTGCCTGCCTTGACCTCCCAAAGTGCTGGGATTACATCCAGCTTTTTTTTTTTTTTTTCCAGATCTAGACCTACAGAACTCCCAAGATCTGAAATACTCAACTCCAGGGAACTGGAAAACTGGAAACCCATTATTTGGACCCTTCATTAGAAGGAGTGAAATGAAGGATTCACCTCGGGAGAATGAAGTGAAAAGAGTGAAAAAAAATTCTACAGAGCCTCAGCCTGTGCAGAGAACTTAGTGATACTAGGTAACAATGTTAGACTTACTAAAAGCGAACTGAGGATTTGGAATGGTATTCATACTCATTGTAAAAACTCTTCTCTTGATGTATAATGTAATGATCTTACCATGTCATGAGACTGAGGAAGATGGAAGTTCCCTTCATTAATACTATAAAACACCTGAATTGGCCGGGCGCGGTGGCTCACGCCTGTAATCCCAGCACTTTGGGAGGCTGAAGCGGGCGGATCACGAGGTCAGGAGATCGAGACCATACTGGTCAACATGGTGAAACCCTGTCTCTACTAAAAATACAAAAAATTAGCCGGGCGTGGTGGTGGGCACCTGTAGTCACAGCTACTTGGCAGACTGAAGCAGGAGAATGGCGTGAATCCGGGAGGCGGAGCTTGCAGTGAGCCGGGATCGTGCCACTGCACTCCAGCCTGGGCGACAGAGCAAGACTCCATCTCAAAAAAAAATAAAAAATAAAAAATAAAAAAAACCCAGCTGAATTGAGAATCTTACCTGCCTGTACAGATGCTGCCAGAAGACCACATAGACTACATTTCAAATTAGACACTGGAAAAATTGTTTCAGTCATGTTTATATTTTAATTTAGCTACGTATCCTACCTAGCTAAAAAATAAGAGCATGGTTATTGTGTCCAATGACAGTGAAAATGCTGAGAAGTGGTGATAACCAGGGAATATCATAGATTTGTAGCAGGGAGTGGTTTTATGCTTATAAGTATTATAGGATATTATAGGCCGGCTGCAAACTGTTGGGCTTGAAATATAGTCCAGGAAGTATAAGTTTCTTTTTCTGATACATGAATGATGTAACATTATCAAGGATATAATCTAGTGAGAAATTAATAAAAGTGGCATACAGTTGAGTCCTCTATATCATCTAAGTAGATTTCTCCCAATAAGCTGGAATTTGTGAAGTGGAATCCAGACACATACTTAGGAATCTGGGGAGCTGGGATGAGGTTTAGGGGAAATGTTGAAAAATATACAGTATTTTGTTTCTACAGAACTTTTCAAAATCTCGATCTTTTAAAGGTACATATGATGCCAATGTTGCCATATAGCTCAGTCTAGAGAAATCTCAGAAAAATACAGTTATAATCATTGGACTACCATTCAATTCTGAGATCCAGCAACATGTGTACTTGGTTACTGTAGGTGGGTTTGTGTATTCAACAACTAATTATAGGAGGTTGGGATTTATAAATTAGAGAAGATAAACTCTATAATGAAAGTCTAAAAATCAAATCCCTAACAGGACACTGATAACTCCTTTTATGATAAAAAAGGAAAATCTTTTGAAGAAAGACATTTTAAAGGGATTAAATTAATAAAGTGAGTGTGCAAAATATGAATGATATAGACCCAACTAAACCACCTAAAGTGGAATAGGGAAGATCATTTGCAAATGCAGTTTCTAGAAACCCTGGGAATATGTTACAGAGTTGAAATTCAGTGTTTCAAATATCTGCTGTCTCTAGTCATAACATCACTGAAAAGTACATTAAATAAACAGCAAAAAATAGAAGAACATTTTAAAATATTTTGAATTTTTTTTTCTGTTGCAAGCATAAGATTAGCTAAAGGTTAATGATGAAATACTATGTACTTGGCACATAGTAAATGCTTAATAACATTTATTGAACAAATGAATATATGAACTCACTGTAGCTACTGCAATATAAATATAACTTAGTGACTCATATCCTGGGAAAACATAGATTTATAAAAGGTATCATAAATAAGTTAATAGCAAGGTATTCAAAAGCTTGAAAGTTCAGTATGGACAGACTTATAAATGAGAACTCTAATATATAGAGGAAAGTGTTGTGGTTAGGCAAGACACACTATTAGTAAAAAGATAATCACCACAAAAGAAAAAAAAGGCAATCAACTTTTTTTTTTTTTTTTCTTGAGACGGAGTATTGCCCTTGTCGCCCAGGCTGGAGTGCAATGGCACAATCTTGGTTCACTGCAACCTCCACCTCCTCGGTTCAAGCAATTCTCCTGCCTCAGCCTCCCAACTAACTGGGATTACAGGCATGCGCCACAACACCTGGCTAATTTTGTATTTTTAGTAGAGACAGCGTTTCACCATGTTGGTCAGGCTGGTCTTGAACTCCTGACCCCGGATGATCCACCTGTCTCGGCCTCCCAAAAGTGCTGGAATTACAGGCGTGAGCCACTGCGCCCGGCAAGCAATCAGCAATTGTAATAGATGTCACAACCAGGGTTAGGAATAAAAATATCTTATTACAAGGCAGTAATTGAGAAGTCTATAAATACATAATCCTTGATGGGCAGATATGAAAAAAAAGTGATGTAAAAGAGATCATCTTTTATTGCCCAGTTGAAGCTAGAAGAATCTGGTTTGGGAATAGAAAATCCTCACAGCTTCATCACCTAAATAGAGAATAATAACATTTATAAAAATTATGTGTAGTCACTAATACAATTAATTTAAATATTTTATCCCTTTTGAAGCTCTACAAAAGAGATTATTGACAAGCCTGGGGAAAAAAAGATGCTCAAATCACCTAAAAATGGATCATCAGATACATGGAGAATGAAGTACTTAATTATCTAATAAGTGGGGGGATTTGTTTAATTAATCCAAGGCTTTTACAGTTATTTATAATGCTTAACTCTATCTTGTACTTTTTTACTTGGCTATTGTGATGGCTTAGTCATTTAGCAAGAAGAACAATTAGAAGGGTTAGATAACTATGCCAAACAACACTAAATTGACGTGAATAGAGCAATTAACTCAGATACTGGTTTACTTCTACAGCAACTTACTATTCTATAATTATTATTATTATTTATTTTTAGACAGAACCATGCTCTGTCACCCAGGCTGGAGTGCAATAGCACAATCTCGGCTCACTACAACCTCCACTTCCCGGGTTCAAATGATTCTCCTGCGTCAGTCTTCCAAGTAGCTGGGATTACAGGTGTGCGCCACCATGCCCAGCAATTTTTTTTTGAATTTTTGGTAGAGATGGGGCTTTGCTATGTTGGCTTGGTTGGTCTTGAACTCCTGGCATCAAATGATCCGCCTGCCTCAGCCTGCCAAAGTCGTGGGATTACAGGCGTGAGCCACCTTGTCTGGCCAACTCTATGGTCTTCAAATGACTTATTTTTAGGTTGGATGAAGACCAAATGAAGTTCTACCCCTTCCTACCCTATGCAAACCCTGGGTTCCTAGATGGAAAACAGATAGAGCTAAGTTTAGGGTGTTGCTATTGTCAGGAGCAGTACCTTCATGACGAAGAAGAGAAAGATGATGATGACAACGTTGACGCGGGGGTGAATCCACACAGCTGACTGGCCCAGGCTCTCAAGATCACCTGCATGTTTCACCCACGTATTGTTGTCGAACAAAGTACTGATGGCTTCTCGGGGCATCAACTGAGAGAGGAAGAAGCAGAAGGGGTGGGTACTCCAGGGATCTCCTGTGCTTCCTTTTTTAGAAAACTTATTCCGCAGCCTCATTATTCAAGGGTCTCTTTTGCCCTTTTCTCAGGGAGAATCGCAAAAGTCTATCCTTGGACAAAACTACTTATACTCTGAAGCCTGAGGGATGTCCGTGCTGTTTCCTCTTTCCCATGCGGCCCCAGTAACCTAGTCATGTGCTTAGTGACCCGACCCCACCTCAGCTCCCCAAGAGCTGACCTCTCCGGCCATGAATTGACCCACTCCTGGTGGGAAGGTGAATGAGGCAATGACAAAGGTAACAATTCCAGGATACAGCAGGCGGCTGAAAAAGAAACAGAGTTAACCCCCACAATTCAGCCAACTCACAGTAAATACCATACTGAACGTCGGCAAGCTGAAGCTTCCTGTCTTCCACTGTAGTCTCGTTTATTTAACCGAAATTCTCTTTACACACACAAAAAATATTTGAGGCTGAGTGCAGTGGTTCATACCTGTAATCTCAGCACTTTGGGAGGCCAAGGTGGGCAGATCACCTGAGGTCACAAGTTCAAGACCAACCTGGCCAACATGGTGAAACCCCGTCTCTCTTAAAAATACAAAAATTAACCAGGCACGGTGGCACATACCTGTAATCCCAGCACTTTGGGAGGCCAAGGAGGGTAGATCACCTGAGGTCACAAGTTCGAGACCAGCCTGGCCAACATGGTGAAATCCCATCTCTACTAAAAATACAAAAATTACCTGGGCATGTTGGCCCACGCCTGTAATCCCAACTACTCAGGAGGCTGAGGCATGAGAATCGTTTGAACCCAGGAGGCAGAGGTTACAGTGAGCTGAGATCACACCACTGCACTCCAGCCTGGGTGATGGAGTGAGACTCTGTCTCAAAAAACAAAAACAACAGAAAAATAATCTTTAAATGGGAGACCACACAATTTTCCCCCTCACCACAGTATCAGGGCTTCCTTATATTTTCATGCAAGCCACTCAGAGGCATTTAATGCCTTTCCCAAAGATAAAAAGGGAGGAACTCTTGGAGAAACCAGAAAGTAAATGGGTAGGGCAAAAGAAGGGCGGTGACTCACTGCTTAGCAAGAAACTGGCTGAGGGCCTTGTGATTTCGGACACCCAGCATGACTTGGCGATGCAGATACACAAATACAGCTCCCAGGAGCCCACAGCAAATCCTGAGGGTGTAATTTATAGAGTTGGAATCTTACAGATGTGAAATCCTCATCTCTTGGACCTGACTACTGCAGGGAAACAAATACCAGGCTTCCGTCTTTCCTATCGGCCCACATCCCCCCAGCAATGTACTCTATCTGTGCCAACCCCACCTTCTTTCTGGCTTGGGTCCCTTCCAATCTACAGCCTCACCCCACACCCTGCTCACCACACACAGAGCAGGTAACCCCACTGACCCGATGACAGCAAAAGCTGGTAGTTCCTTCAGGTCAAAGGGGAAATCCATTCGGAAATTGGTTCTGAACAGAGCAGTGATGGTGACTGTAGGATGGAAAGGCCAGGATTATGGTGGGAGCTTTGTAGAAACCCAACAGGGAAACAGAGGTGGGCAGTTTTCAGGATTAATTCCTTCCTTCCTCCAATCCCAGTTTCTCCTCTTGAATGTATTTTCCTTTTTTCTACGCACACCCCTGCATGGACATACTCTCCCACTCCATGACCTGTATCTTTGTCATACACCCTTGGGCCTTGGTCCCACCCCACAAATGATCCCACCCATTATTCCTTTTCTGAACTGCCCCACAGAGTTTTCCTCTGCACCTCATTCCCAGTCTTTCTATTTCACACAGCCTCCACCCCAGGCCTCCTTGGTTACCAGCATCCTTGTTCCACACTGCCAGCACTCGGAACACGAAGGCGCTGAACGTGGCTGCAAAGAATCCTCGCCAGTAGTTCCGAACAGCAAAGTAGGTGGAGGTGACCTCGATGCTAAACAGCACTCCTGCAGGGGCACAGAAGTGTGGTCGGGGGCAGACAGCAGTGAAAGGGCTCCCCCACACTCCCCACTCCTTGGACCTAAGGAGCTTTTGCTGAAACATGAATCTGGGAGGAAGCAGTAGTGGAAAGTCATGAACTCTTGGATTCCCATGCTCAAAACCACACAACCGCTCAGGCTAGGAGTTTTTTATTCTTATTTTTATTTCAGACAAGGGATGGGTTCAACAAGACATAGAGAAGGTTGAAAATGAATGGGCCTTCAACTTCCAAAACATGAGGATCAAGTGTCCGTGCCCTCTGCATCCCTTAGAATGTAGGGGTGGAATGGGGTTCACAACTGTCAGATATCCACAGGGACTAAAAGGTAGTTGAAAAAAATCTGCAGAAGAGTTAAGAGAGAGAAAGTTCCAGAGCAGGTCCTCAGTAGAGTTGCCAAGCAGAGCTCAGGATTTACAGGGACTCTCCATAGCACCCTCCTCTGGACTTTCCTACCACTCTACATATACCATGTACCCTGGAGCAACCTTATAAGGAAGACAGAACAAAAATAGGAGGGGACTTTGCAGGAGCTGACAATTCTCGATAGTTCAAGAAAAGAAGGTAGAGGAGTCATACCAATAATAATAATGATGATGATAATAATAATAATAATAATAATAATAATAAACTAATACTAGGCCGGGCACGGTGGCTTATGTCTGTAATCCCAGCACTTTGGGAGGCCGAGGTGGGCGGATCACCTGAGGTCGGGAGTTCGAGACCAGCCTGACCAACATGGAGAAACCCCCATCTCTACTAAAAATACAAAATTAGCAGGTCGTGGTGGCGCATGCCTGTAATTCCAGCTACTCGGGAAGGCTGAGGCAGGAGAATCGCTTGAACCCAGGAGGCGGAGGTTGCGGTGAGCCGAGATCGCGCCACTGCACTCCAGCCTGGGCAACAAGAGTGAAACTCTGTCTCAAAAAAGAAAAGAAAAGAAAAGAAGAAAACCAAAAAACTAAAAACCTGACTTAAAAGGACCAACGCAAGGGGAAAAGCCAAGAGCCTAGAAGAAGATAAAAACAATCATGCTTAAGAAAAGTGGGTGAGGCAAAAGGAAAGCTAAGTAGTAGTTCTAAGTAGTACTGTTTCTGAGCGTAGGTGCTGGAGCAGAAATTGAGGGGGTAGATCTACAGAAAAAGAACAAGGGTTGGTAGGGACAAAGTAAGGAATGCCAGTGAGGGCATAAAAAGCAACACTCAAGAGAGGCAAAGAAAAAAAATCTTTCAACATATTAAGAATAAGGGGGGTGGACTTTAATCCGATGCAAAGTAAAAATTGATGACAAAATTACCTAAAACCTAGCTAAGCCTCATCTTTATCAAAAACGAGGAAAAAGAACCAGGGAAATGCAACCATGCACATAATTGGATGAATGGAGATGAGGCCTGACCTCAGGAAACCTTGAACTAGGCCGGTTTGTCCCCTTTCTCTCCGTGTGAACAGAGTGAACGCCCTCTTCAGGCAGCATCTCACATCCTAGTAATTTTCTTCTCTCTGTGCTATATTCAAAAGTCACATCTCTTGAATCCCCCAGGACCACCACCTTCTCTTCTATAGGTGACACTCGACTAGTTACATCGGGTCATTTGCTCCAAGGGGAGGGTGGCCTAATGGTTACATCAGGTCATTTGCACCAGGGGGAGGGTGGCCTAATGGTTACTCCTGAATACAGCAGCTGCTGCAGTTTGGCAGAGGATTTCCAGTGGTCAGTCCCAACTCCCCTTCCCTGGGAAGCCATCCAAAATCCTCCTTTTCAGGTCAAAACCATCTGTCCTTCAGCCTGCGCTCTCAGAATTTTGGGTTACTATAGCACTACCACTTTCAGATCCAGATATTTGTTTACATTTCTGAGATCCCCTAGGATTGAAAATTCCTTGGAGGCCGGGTGCAGTGGCTCACGCCTGTAATCTCAGCACTTTGGGAGGCCGAGGCGGGTGAATCATGAAGTCAGGAGTTCGAGACCAGCCTGGCCAACTTGGTGAAACTCCATCTCTACTAGAAATACAAAAATTAGTCAGGCGCGGTGGCAGGCACCTATAATCCCAGCTACTTGGGAGGCTGAGGCAGAATAATTGCTTGAACCCGGGAGCCGCAGGTTGTAGTGAGCCAAGATCGCGCCACTATACTCCAGCCTGGGTGACAGAGCAAGACTCCGTCTTGGAAAAAAAAGAAAAGAAAATTCCTTGGAAACCAGCACCTAGTACGGTGCCTGGTGCATAATCAGGGCTGAATGTCTATTCTAGGGATGAGCAGGGGAGGAGAGGAAAGGACAGGATGAGGATAAAAGAGAACAGAAGAGAACAGAATTTCAGGAAACAGAGCAAGGCAATGGGCAATGTGGGGCAGACAGAGCTTCGTCAATCACCCCTTCTGCCCTGCTCTTCACATCACATCAGGTAAGCAGCTACCTCTGGGGCCTAAAAGAAGGATTTGACACAGCAGGAATTAGGTAGAGTGAGTCTCTCTCCTTTTCTATACCAGTAACAAAAGCAGTCAGCTTTGATTTGCCTGGGTGTAAACTATCCAACTGATGAATATTTTACAACAATTTTTTTGAAATCCTGGGCTAGGTTTTCTTTCCCATGACGTGGTTCTGGGACACTTTCCCTAGCAGTCTGTCACTGTATGCTCTGGAATGAGAGCTAATTTTAATATTAGCCTGAGCCAAACATAAAATGTGCAGTTAAAAGGAAACAAAGCATTAAAAACAAAAACAGCTTTTGGAAACTCTCCACTCAGGTTCTGGAACATTGCTCTCTTCTCCCACCCTGGATTCCCTCTCTACCTTCTCTGCTGCTCCTGTGCCTCTGCCCAACCCCAGCCTTTGTCCTTGGTCTCCTACTCGTCCTATTCACAAACACACTTTCTCTCTCAATTTCACGTATGCTCGTGCCATCACCTACACCTATATGCTGCTGATTAGCAAAGCTATGTTCCTGAGCTTCAGACTTGTCAACCCTGCTGCAAAAATGGTATCACCTAGATATGTCACAGGAACATCAAACTGAACACACTCAAAGTGAAACGTATCAGCTAGCTCCTCCCACCAGATCTGTTTCACTTCCCGTATACCCAATCATGGTTACTAACACCACTATCCACCCAATCGCCCTTGTAGGAAAGCTGGGTGTTAGCCTAGATCCCTCCTCTCTTTTACCCCACACAAAATTAATCACCAAGATGCCAGGCACAGTGGCCCTTGCCTGTAACCCCGGCACTGTGGGAGGCCGAGGTGGGTGGATCACTTGAGGCCGGGAGTTTGAGACCAGCCTGGCCAACATGGAAAAACCCCGCTTCTACTGAAAAAAAAAAAACAAAAATTAGCCAGGCATAGTGGCACGTGCATGTAGTCCCAGCTGCTGGGAGGCTGAGGTGGGAGAATTGCTTGAACCTAGGAGACACAGGTTGCAGTGAGCCAAGATTGCACCACTGCATTCCAGCCTGGGCCAGAGAGCAAGACCCTCTCTCAAAAAGAAAAAATAAAATTAATCACCAGGTTATATCAATTTTACTTTCTATCATTCTTCTCTTTCTCTTCTGCCTCTGTCCAGTGCAGTCTCTTATTACACAGCATCAGGACTATGACAATCGTCTTCTTGTTAATCTCAGATTAATCCTGTTAATCCTCAGGCCGATTTTGTCCTGCACACATCTGACAAAGGGATTGGGTGGACACTCAAGGCTGGCCATGTCACTTCCTTGTGCACAAGTCTTTCATGGCTTTAATTCACCCATGACAGCATTTCCCAAAATCAGGTCTGTGAGATACTACAAATCCCACGAGACAGGGTTCTGTGGGAAATGGTGCATTAGAGCTACATTTTGGATATTCCCAATGCGTGTCACCATATCAAATGTTCTGGCAACTTTTTCTTTTTCTTTTTCTTTTCTTTTCTTTTTTTTTTGAGATGGAGTCCCACTCTGTTGCCCAGGCTGGAGTGCAGTGGCGCAATCTCGGCTCACTACAACCTCTGCCTCCCAGGTTCAAGCAATTATTCTGCCTTGGCTTCCTGAGTAGCAGAGACTACAGGTACCTGCCACCACACCCAGCTAAGTTTTGTATTATTAATAGAGGTGGGGTTTCACCATATTGGCCAGGCTGTTCTTGAACTCCTGACCTCGTGATTCACCCAACTCGGCCTCCCAAAGTGCTGGCATTACGGGCATGAGCCACCGTGCCTGGCCACTGATAACTTTTCTAGTTTCAGAAAGAACTGTCTCTCTAACCAAGCACTTTCCAACTGATTTATAGAACCATTTTTACACATTAGATCTACAAAACCATGAAACACATTTATGCAAATCCTAGTCTAGAGAATAAATTCCATATTCTTATACATAGCCATGAGGGTCTCCATAATTCAGTCCCCCTTTACTTGTCCAGACTCATTTGCTATTATTCCTTCCTCTGTATCACCTGCTAATACGCAGCTACTGCCCCCATCTTGACTTTGCAATGCTGGTTCCTCTATCCAGAATACCCTGCCCCCACCATCCTCCTTGCCAGTCCTACTTATTATTCAAGCCTCATATCAAACACCACCTCTTTTGTGATGCTTCATGGGCTCTTGTAGGCAGGTTAGCATAAAGTTCCCACTGCACTTTGCCCCGGCTGCCACTGGGCCACTTTTTCGAGTGGGCTATGACGATAGGTTTGCCTGCCTGTCCAGCCTCTCAACAAGGAGCACCCTGAGTGTGCAAGATCCAGCACAGGGCCTGGCACAGAATGGGAGCAAGATGCTTGTCATTTTAGCGGAATGCTGAATTCTATTTGTTTCATTAGTGTAAGAAATTAAGAGCTGACTCCATAATGAATATAACATTTCAATACTAATTTTCCTTTCAGAATTATTCAGTATTCATTTTAAAAAATCAAGTAATGGGCCAGGCACGGTGGCTCACATCTGTAATCCCAGCACTCTGGGAGGCCAAGGTGGGTGGGTCACTTGAGGTCAGGAGTTTGAGAGCAGCCTGGCCAACATGGTGAAACCCCGTCTCTATTAAAAATACAAAAAATTAGCCGGGTGTGATGGTGCGGGCCTGTAATCCCAGCTACTAGGGAGACTGAGGCATGAGAATTGCTTGAACCTCGGAGGCAGAGCTTGCAGTGAGCCAAGATGGTATACTCCATCCTGGGTGACAGAGCAAGACTCCATCTAAACAAACAAACAAACAAACAACAACAACAAAAAGCCAGGAATGCCACCTGCAAATACCTTTGTGATTTACCATGTAATACAAACAGCCTAAACATAGCACCTTAATTTTTAAGTTCTTAACAATTTCTTGTGTCAACAGCAATGCTTTATCTGTGAATTTTTTCTTTTTTTTTTTTTTTTTTTTTTTTTTGAGACAGAGTCTCGCTCTGTCACCCAGGCTGGAGTGCAGTGGCCGGATCTCAGCTCACTACAAGCTCCGCCTCCCGGGTTCACGCCATTCTCCTGCCTCAGCCTCCCAAATAGCTGGGACTACAGGCGCCTGCCACCTCGCCCGGCTAGTTTTTTGTATTTTTAGTAGAGACAGGGTTTCACCGTGTTAGCCAGGCTGGTCTCGATCTCCTGACCTCGTGATCCGCCCGTCTCGGCCTCCCAAAGTGCTGGGATTACAGGCTTGAGCCACCGTGCCCGGCCTCTGTGAATTTTTTCTTCCCTTTTCTACCACAATGGTTTCAGAACTGTTGCCTATAACTTCTCTATGATCTTTACCTCTCCCATACTTGACACAGGTCCAAGAAGAACCTTTCTGATTCTTCTCAGAAATTCCAGTGTTATGAGGAAAATGCAAATTCTCTTCACATTCAGAGAATCTGGCTGATTGAAACAAAACAACAAGAGTCTCCCAGTCTAAAAATATTCTTTAGACCTCCTGGATTTGAAAGGCTAAAGAGTAAATAAAGGTGAAAGTGGGTACAAATGTAAGTGTGAACGTTTAACATGTGCAAAAATCCAAATACACTATCCTCCACTGACAAGGATTAGTGCTTTTAATGAGTAGAGCTGAGGACAGAAATGTAAACAGGATGCTAGCTGGTATGCTTGCTAACTTGGGCTCCGAAGTCTGTGCTTTGCCACAGTGTTTGCATAAGTTAGATCATGCATTTGCATTAACTTTAAACTCTTCTCCATTTATCATTCCTGCGCCAAGTCATTTTAGTTCCCTGGAAGACTCTATGAAAAGATTGCTTAACATTTCCATAACTGAAAAGAAACCTCTAACAGTGGGTCTTTTAAGAAGCAAATGCCCTTCCTGCAATTTTGTTTCTTCACATATCTACTTAGTGTCCTTTTTATCATCAGTGAATCCAATGAATGACCTGTATAATTCTGCCCTGCTAATCTAGCGTTAATTGATTTTGATGAGTCAATACACAGATACGACTGCTTTCTCCGACTACATCCATTTGTTAATCATCCATGATAAGGAAAATAATCTGAGAAATCACTATTTGCCTTATACTTGGAGAAAGAGCTAAACTTAACTTTAAATTGCTATCAAGGGACATTTATCCTTTGAAACTCTCCTAACTATTCCTCACTAAAAGCTTACCATTAATCTAAATAAGGTCTATCTGAATTCCCATGCAATTAGTAAAGCACAACAAAATGTGGGTTTTTCCCTTGAAGGAGGAAGTTCATAGAGTTCTCCGTTAGAGATGTCATCAGCGTAGGGCAAAAACATCCAACAATACAAACAGGTTTTAAAATAATTAAGGGAGCCACGGAGACTGCCTTGGTTTTAATTCCCAGCTTGGACCTTACTAACAGAATGAACTTGCTCGAGTCACTCTCCCTCTCTGTAATTCAGTTCTCTCCTCTTCCTCCTCTGGAATATCAGTCTCATATGGCTTTGGCCAGGAGTAAAAGTAAGTGCTTAGAACGTTGCCTGGCACATAGCAAACGCTTACTAAAAATCAGCTATTCTTGTAAATAACCTGGTAATACCAGCACTTATGGATACTGATTCAAACTGTTTTGGGAGTCAGGCCAGGCAAGATGATTGATGGGGGAGGGGGCCAATCACTTGCCTCCAAGTGGTGTCCCAAAACAACAGCCGACTCCCACAGCACAGCCCACCGTCAGGATATCAGAGTAGTAGTATGGCTGCTACTAGGGGAGAGACAGACAGAGAGACAGGTGGAAGAGAGGGAGGTGGGCAGGCAGAGGACAGGAAAACAAGCAGGGATGGGGAATAAGGCAGAATGAGAGGCCTAAGTCACAGGGAGTCCTTGTGGTCCCATGTCCCCTATAATTCCCAGGCCAAGAGAAACTCAGTGAGTTTGGCAAAAAGGAATTAACCTCATAGCACAGCACCAAAATGAAATAGAAAATAGAAAATGAAATAAAAGTTAGGCAAATATATGCCAGGCATATAAATCAACAAATGATAAGCAGAAAAGAGACAGCAAGAACTCCAGAAAGCAGTACTAATACATCCTGCACCACACAGCAAGCAGTCTCAAAAGAATACACAGCCCTTTGGTGAAAAAATATAGGTATCTGGATCCTAGGGGCTGTGATCCACAGTCATTCCCTGGATGCCCACTCCAAAGCTTGTGGCAGCCACCCAAAACCCCCTTCTAAGTCTTGCTTAGGCAATCGGGATAGGGAGGAAGTGCAACTTGCCTCCAACACTGGCTGCAAAGCAGCATCCCACGCCCACCGCACAGGCCGACACCAGGAGGTCAAGCTGCCCAGGCACGGTCTGCAACAGAGAAGCACGCGGGACAAGGTGGTGGAGGGGTGGGGCAGGCGGGGCGTATGTAAGAGGTGGGGTGAGGGATTGGCAGCTACACAGGGAAGGGGGAGCACAAGAGGGAAACGTGGAGGGAAACTGACACAGAGGGGATGGTATGGACTAGCAGGGAGAGCATGGGAGCAGACCACAGGCCAGCCCTCCATGTGGGGGCACAGGTCAAAGAGGGGTGGGCATTCAGAGGACAGGCACAGGTTAAACAGAGGCATTATGTGGCTAGGGTAGGCGGACAGGGGGACGAGGAAGGGAGCGTGGATTAGTGCGATGCTCCCTCAGCACCACAGCCAGCCCAGAGCAGAGGCAGCCCTCCCAACACCCTGGACACACAGCCGGACTCCTTCTACCACCTGGCCCCGGCTCATTTCGCTGTCTCAACCTTACCTCATATACCCCACAGAACACAGACATGAACTTGCTGAGGACAGCAGCACAGATGCTGGCAATGTGGACGAAGGGGCCCTGGGGGAGGGGCAGCAAGGGGGCAGAGGTCAGAGGCCCGATGGAGGCTCTGCAGCACTCGCTGGACTAACATTCCTTACTCCAGGCACTGTGCCAGGGGCTGCAAATACAGGAGTTACGCAGAGGTCCCGTCCTCACGAGGCCTCATCCCAGGGAGGAGGAAGAGGAGAAACCAGTGTGTTTCTCCTCTCCAGAGAGCAAGGGTGGCGAAGGGTGGGAGGGCACGTGTTTAGAGGAAAGAGCCTGAGGAGCCTCCCTCAAGTAGAGCTTTGAATGATAGGCGGGAGGGAGCCACGCAGATGTCAGGAGGAAGAATGTTCCAGGCTGGGAAAACAGCACACAGGGGCCCTGAGGGGCCCAGGGCAGAGTGACTGAGGGACAGAAAGGAAACCTGTGAGCCAAACACAGGGAAGCGGGGGCAGAGGCCTGGAGAGAGGAGCAGCCGGAGTTCACGGTCTCGAAGGCCATGTAAGAAGCTCCGATTAGGCCGGGGCGTGGTGGCGCATACCTGTAATCCCAGCACTTTGCAAGGCCAAGGCGGGCGGTCACCTGAGGTCAGGAGTTCGAGACCAGCCTGACCGATATGGTGAAACGCCATCTCTACTAAAAATACAAAAATTAGCCAGACGTGGTGGCGTGTGCCTGTAGTCCCAGCTACTCGGGAGGCTGAGGCGGGAGAATCACTTGAACCTGGGAGGTGGAGGTTGCAGTGAGCCGAGATCGCACCACTGCACTCCAGCTTGGGCAAGCGAGCTAGACACTGTCTCAACAACAACAACAAAAAAACTTTCAGTTTTATTTTAAGAGGCATGGAAAGCCTTAAGAAGTTTTTGACCAGGGGTCAGATGAGGCTGATTCCATGTTAAAAAGATACCTCTGGCTGCTGGGTGGAATATGGCAGTAGGGGGCAAAGGTGCACACCAGCAGAGAACAGAAGGAGGCTGCACCCTACTGAGCAACCTTGAAAATAGCACAGCCTCATTCTCAGTCCTGGTTTTCTCAGATTCAAGCAAAGGAATTGGTCTGGATGATCTCTAAGACAGTGTTCTCAACCAGGGGAGATTTTGTCCCCCAGGGTCCATATGGCAATGTCTGAGGACATGCTGGTGTCACAACTGGGGGATGCTGCTGGGCATCTAGGAAGGGTCAGAGGCCAGCAATGCTGCTAAGTCCCCTCCACTGCGCAGAACAGCCTCCAACAGCACGGAGTTATCCAGCCCCAAATGTCAGGGGTGTCCAGGCTGAGAGCCTGCTCCAAGCTCCCCAGGCTGTGTGGTTTTTGTCATTGGACCCCAGGTGGAGGACCTTCCAAAGCACTTCCCCTTCCTAGTGTCCCCTGGCCCTGGCCTTGGTCCTGTTCCTCTGATCCTCTTCCACTCCCAGAGCTCCCTCTAGAGCTGGTGCCACCCTGGCTCCTGAGGGCCCTTCCCAGCTCTTGCTTCTGTCATGCCAGGCCTACCTCTTTCCCCACGGGGATGCCACTGCCCAGGCCCGCAGTCAGGGCGACAACCTTGGCCACAAAGGCTTTTATCGTGAGGTATTCCTTCAGGACAACCCCACGAAGTATTGTCTTCATTTCAGGGATTCCAGAGCCTAAAAGCGTTGAAAGATTATGTGCGGAGTCAAGGTGGAGGTTAAAAGGGAGATGACTGTTCAGAATATGGGAATGGGAATTGGAGAGGGCTGAAGAGGCAGTGGTGGGGAGGGTGGGGCCCGGCAGCACCGGACTGTGGGTGGGGCTGGATGATGGGGGAGACAGACAGGGCCCCTCTCAGGCCACCCAGCTCAGGCTGAGTCTGGTGGCAAGTTCTCACCGACAGCCTGGGGAGAGATGAGGTGGCAGAAGAGGGCGCTGAAGAGGATGAGGACGAGTGGGAAGGTGACCCAGACCAGGAACTGCAGAGGAAGGCTGGGCCGCATCTGCGCGTAGGACCACTTGTAGGCTGCGGAGACACATGCCTGGGGTTAGGCAGAGCGTGGCTGAGCAGCTGTGTCCACAGCACCAGGAAGTGTACCTGGCGTGTTCTCAGGCCGTGCTCATTCTGTGTGCCCCTTCCAAGATGGTGCTGCTCTCATTTGACACATGGGAAGCCTGAGTTATGGGAGGTGATGTGGCCTGTTCCAGTTGGTAGTTGGTGGCTGTGTCATGAATCCCACTGGAGTTTTGACTTCTCCCTTGCCTTCCCCTCACCCTGCCCTGGTGTGGTGGTTAGCATGGGACCAGCTAGAACAGATCTGGCCCTTGAAGGGCTGGAGGGCTGGGTGTGACCAACCACCCGGTGTGCCCAGAACCAAGGGGCTTCCTGGGATTCAGGGTGTTCAGTGCTGAAACTGGGAAAGTCCCTGGGAAACTGGGGCAAGTTGGTTACCCTATTAGAGGGCATCCACTGTTTGGATGGCAGTGAGTGGAGGGGCGTTAAGAAGTGGAGCAGGGCTAGGTCTGGTCTTTTATGGGCCTGGAGTCCCACCTGATCCCTCTCTGTGCAACATTCGTTTCCCATAACACACCCTGCTTACCCTAGGTAGAAACTCCAGAAACAGCTGTGGGCAAAGGTCCAGGTTAAACCTACCCTGAAGGCTTTTGGCACTGACGTAGTCCATGCTCCAGCTGACCAGAGCCATCAGCAGTCCCAGAAGCACCAGAAAGATCCAGTCTTCCCCTAACTTTCTTCTCACCACCTGTCCCAGGCGGCGGACACAATCTAGGAAGAGATGGGGGGGAAAAAAAAAATATATATATATAGAGAGAGAGAGAGAGAGAGAAAGAGAGAGAGAGAGAGAGAGAGAGAGAGAGAGAGAGAGAGAGAACAGCTAACCAGTCACTACTTTGGGTGCTAGACCCAAGATGGGGGGGGAAGCTTTGGGTCCATATATCGTACGCACTGAGTTTCTCATTACCCCTCTGCTGATCGCTGCTCTGGCCCCGGCAAAAGGCACCAAAGTCCAACTCCCCATGAATACTTGAATTCCTTTCTAAAACTCATTTCTTGAAGTTGTGGGAGGAATAACAGGGAATAGGCAAAGTGCAAAGGAGGTGGAGAGAGGTGCCGTTTCCTTAATACTTAGAGGGGCCAAGCATGGTGGCTCACACCTCTAATCCCAGGACTTTGGGAGGCTAAGGCGGGAGGATTGCTTGATGCCAGGAGTTCAAGACCAGCCTCAGCATCTCTACAAAAAAGGTTTTAAAATTAGCTGGGCATGGTGGCATGTGCTTATAGTTTTAGTTACTGGAGAGGCTGAGGCAGGAGGATCACTTGAGCCCAGGAGTTCTAGGCTGCAGTGAGCTATGGTCACTCCACTGCACTTCAGTCTGAATGACAGAGTGAGACCCTGTCTCTTAAAAACAATAAAAAGGGTAGAGTTTTTGTAGCAGGGAAAAGAGTACGTATGTGCAACGGGATGACCAAGTTATTCTCCTAATCCCTATACCTCTTTCTACTCCAGATTTATTTATTCCTCAGTCCCCATCACCTTGACATTTGGAATAGTGATCCTCATCCTTGCTGTCCACGGTAGAACTGGAGCCCGTCTTCTTGGGCATCCCTATGTCCCGCTCCCTGTCTGAGAATTGTTCTTTGTGATGGCCATAAATCTGGACAGAGAGAGAATGATCAGTGTCTGCCTTGTAGAAGAGTAAAAAAAAATAATAGACAGAGGGCAGCAGACAGACTCACAGAAGAAAAGAGCAGCAGCTTTTTTGAATTCTGGGAGTTGACTGCATGCGGGGTGACTTTGTGGTCATCCCTGCCCTCTAGTCTCCACCCTCCATTTCCACACTTCCCACCCTTTCCCTTGTCCATTCATCCTACCTTCTCTCCACCCATTCTCCAACCTGTACTCACCTTGATCCAAGGTAACCTTAATAAAGGAGGCCAGTTTCTGCTTTGAAGCAGAGGTACAGGACTGTGCTGAACCCAGCAGCCCATATCAATCAGGTGTTTTGTGTCACTGCTTTCTGTATGTCCCACAATTTCCCCAGACCACCTGCATTAACTTTCCTCCTAATATGAACGGTGAGGACAGACTGGATTATCAGGGCAGTCTTGGTTGCACTTTGCCTTGGTGTGTCTAGCCTTACCTGAGGCGCCTCAGGTCCTCTGTCAAGCTTCAAGCCCATCTACCTCATCTCCTAGCGCTTGTATGCACACACAGGAACTAGCTTGAAAAGGCAGGTCAATCTACTTCTTCCTACAGCCAGATAATTAGACCCCCACCTGCCCTACATGTGAAGGGGGCAGAGCAGCTCCCTCAGATCTGGTGGCCCTCCACTTCCATCCCGAGACAGAGCACGTGTGTCTGTGTGGAGTATGCAACAGCTCAAACTGCTTTTAGCCTGCCCCACTCCCACTGCACTAACCGTCCTCTGGGGCCAGGGTCAGTCCAGGCCATGTTGCTGGATTCTGGGAGAGCCTGAGTAGAAGAGATCTGATTTCACAATATGAGCAGCATTTTACGCCGCAGTCCTGAACAGGCACACGCATGAATTACCCTGCTCGTGGCTGTTTGTCTTCTGGGTTAGTGACCGAGGAAGGCAGTGTTTCCTTCCAAACCCTACCTGGGACCCAGAGAGAGAAGATACTTCCCAGTGGAAGTCAGACAGCTGAGGCTGTCTCAGCTCCTCGAGGCCCCAGGCCGGTGGAGACGAGGAAGGGGGTTGCCTCATATCATCATACCTGGGCTGGGAAAACGCTTCAAGGGCCAGATCTGTTCTAGCTGGTCCCATGCTAACCACCACACCAGGGCAGGGTGAAGGGAGGGCAAGGGAGAAGTCAAAACTCAAGTCTACAAGTGATACAATGTCTGGGATTTGTTAAAAAGTATTCCACCGTGTAAACCAGGCTCGGTGGTTCACGCCTGTAATCCCAGCACTTTAGGAGCCTGAGGGGGGCAGGTCACCTGAGGTCAGGAGTTGGAGATCAGCCTGACCAACATGGAGAAACCCTGTCTCTACTAAAAATACAAAAATTAGCCAAGCATGGTGGCACATGCCTGTAATCTCACCTACTCAGGAGGTGGAGGCAGGAGAATCGCTGGAACCCGGGAGGCGGAGGTTGCGGTGAGCTGAGATCGCGCCATTGCAACTCCAGCCTGGGCAACAAGAGCGAAACTCCATCTCAAAGAAAAGCAAACAAACAAACAAAAGTATTCCACAGTGTGTAGAGGGGTGAGGGTGGGGAAGGGGAGAACAGATGGAACAATAGTGACAAAACATTGATAACTGGGGGGTTCTTGGGGCTTCACTATACCATTCTGTTTTTGTGTAAGTCTGAATTTTCCATAATAAAAATGAAACAAAGAAAAACTAATCCAAACTCTTGTTTGCTTTTGAGACCTGTAGAAAACAGCTCAATTTTACTCCCCAAACTAACCATAGCTTCCCAACACGAGGCTTCATGCTCACCTGGCCAGTCTCCTCACTGTCACCAGGAAGTGCCATAATGGCACTGTTACTCAAGTTGTCATCCCACCCAGGTACGACCACGTACGTCAGTGAGAGCACAGGGCCGGGGGAGGGGTCTTCCCCCCTACTGATCCCAAATGGTGTTCAAAGGCCTAGTCAGACCCCGCTATCTCCAGGGAACCTTCCCAACGCTCGATACCAGCCTACACTGACCTGTATGTCCCTGTTCTCTACTAGGTCCCTGGTGCTGCCTTTGCAAATACTCCTGGGGGTTGGTCAGAGACTGAGAGCAGATCCTTTTGACCCCCAATGTTGAGATCCCCTGCACAGCTCATGCCTCAGCTTCCCAGCCCTAAACCTAAAGGAACTGTAGGCTCCCTATTAAAAAAAAAATTAATTAATTAAAAAAAGTATTTTAAGTTATGACCAGACGGGGCGCAGTGGCTCACAGCTGTAATTCCAGCACTTTGGGAGGCCAAGGTGAGTGAATTACCTGAGGTCAGGAGTTCGAGACCAGCCTGGCCAGCATGGCAAAAACCTGTCTCTACTAAAAGTACAAAAATTTGCCAGGCATGGTGGCGGGTGCCTGTAATCCCAGCTACTCAGGAGGCTGAGGAAAGAGAGTTGCTTGAACCCAGGAGGCAGAGGTTGCAGTGAGTCCAGATAGCACCACTGCACTCCAGCCTGGGAGACAGAGTGATACTCTATCTCAAAAAAAAAAAAAAAGAGAAAGTTCTGGCCAACTGTCCTCTGGACAAATTCTATCCTCTGTTGTTCTCTGCATTCTTTGGAGGGCGAGGCACACTTACTTATTAGCCATGACCTATCTTTTTCCATGACAATTTCACAACCTTTCCTTTAGTTGTGCCCATCCCCATTCCCCCTTTCCTTGGTGGTCATATCCCACCAATCCCACAGCAGGAGGCTGCTCATCCCTAAACACTCCTAATTAGTCTGCATACTTCTGTTGCTGGGATCACATCTCTGCACTTTTTCAGGTGCCTAACACTTAATAGGTTCTTACTTGATCATCTTGCCACCTAAAAGCTTGATTACATCTCTGCTCATTTTGATGTTGGTAGATCTTTGATCACTGATATGCAATTCAGTCTGTTTTCTACACTTGTCCAATTCCTTTCTTCTGCCTTTCACAGAAAGATTCGTGTGTTTGTGTATTCTGCAGAGGGTCACAGAGGCAGAAATCTGGCAGTGTCTGCCTGTGGGTGAGGGTGTAGGAGACAGCTCCCAGCACACTGCAGTGTGGGCTCCTACGCAATCCACTCCACGTAGGTTATGTAAGCACGAGCTATTCGTGCATGTGAGGCTCTGCTGTTTCCCCATAAGATTCGGGTACTCTGTTGGTAAAGGTTGTATGAAAGTGCATGCATTTCTCTCTAAGTGCATATTTAGGTGAGCCCAGATTTCCAAAGATTTTAATATTTTGAACACATTACCATGTACTTGTTTTTTAAGTTAAAAAAATGTGACACTGCTCCCTCTTTTTACCCAATTCCTAATTTTCACCAGTCTCTGGCACCACTGTCTCCCCTCATCCGTGGCTCCCCTCTCCCCTTATAGCACTTTACCTGTGTGGGGTGGACGTTGTGTCGGGGGCCTGCATCCTTCCGGAGCCTGTGCTGGAGGCCCCCGTTCTCAGAGGGCAGTCCGTAGCTGGTGCAGTGTTCAAAGGGCATATACTGGTACTGGGGGTCACTCCCCCACCAGCTTTGTTCACCCCCACGCTGCTGTGACCGGGATTGCTCCATGTTCCCTCCCCCCGAGCCCCGGCCAGGCCTTGGCCTGCTTGCCCCTGTCCTTCCCCCAGTGTAGCTCCTTAAGCCTCTGCTCTTGCTGTCCCCAAGGCGTCTGGGGCAGCATGCCCACCTCCAGCTATTTATAGCCCCTTCTCCGTCACATGATCCCCCACTGCCACATCTGATCTGCTTGGGGTCGAAGCAGGTGTGAGTGCAGTGCGGGGGTGGGGGTTGGGATGAGGACCTGAGGGACAGCCCCACAGGGAATTCCCTCTGCTGAGCCAGTGGCATTGTCCCCCTCCTTAGTCACCAGTAGTAGACTTCCAGCTCCATGTCACTGGTCCCTCTATAAATATCGCCTGGATCTGGATGAGAAACTGCTGAGTATGCTCTCAAACCTATGTGTAGAGCCGGATCTGCATGGAAGCCCTCCAGCTGCCCATCTCTCTTCTTCAGGATGCGGAAGGTGAGGGGTGGGTGCTGGATAAAGATGAAGTGACTCGAAGATCTGGAAACACTGGGGCGTTAACTCACCTGGGAGAGTAACTGGTGCCTCTCTGCCACCTCTTCTGGCTGGCTTGTTCCCAACTCTGTGTCCACCCAGGGTTCTGTCTGGCCAGCTCTGCCATCCCATCCCATCCCATGTCCAGCGTTCTTCTCCAGCTCTTTGCCCTTCTGTCTGCCAGAGGCTGCTAATAACAGCTTGGGGGCATCCCCTGATCCCATCCTTATCACCCGCTGGGTGTGGAACGCTTATGGGAAGTGGGAAGTCGGGGGTCGGTAATAGACTTGGGTTCCAGAATTTCTCCCACTTCCCAGACTGTTAGGTGTCAGCCACGCTGCTAACCTGGAGGGACTGAGCTTCCATTTGGACTGTGGAGCGCCCACACTGGCTCCATCAGATAGATTACAGGGGAGATAGCAGGGGAGAATTGAAAGTAGACAAGAGGCACAGGGAAGGGAGAGGTGGCAAAGGAGTGAGGGCTTCTCATGACAAGCCCGACAAACATGAAAGATGATGGGGAAGTGTTCTCTGCTATTCTTCCCTTTTCAGGTCAATAAATACTTTTTGGCCAAGGACAAACTTTTCTTTCTGGCATCACATTATAAAACCAATTTTCCTATGACATATCTTCCCTATGAACTCGTCACTATAGGAGAAAAGTTATGAACTGGGCCGAAGTGAAGTTTAGGATCCATTACCAAGTGGGGTCTGTCCCAGGACAGTCCAAGTTTAGGGACTGCAGGGCAGGGACAGCAAACATCTGGTCTACAATGTGATTTCGACCTAGGCTAAATGGAACCACCCAAAGCAAGAGGGAAGCCAATATCATTAAAAGTACTTTTTCTAGGGCCTCAACATCATTAATCATCAGGAAAATACAAATCAAAATCATAATGCAATATCACCTCATACCTATCAGGATGGCTATCATCAAAAAAGCAAGAAATAGCCAGGTGCGAGGGCTCATGCTTACAATCCCAGCACTGTGGGCGACCAAGACGGGCAGAATGCTTGAGCCCAGCAGTTAGAGACCAGCCTGGCAACATGGGGAGACCTCGTCTCTATAAAAAATACAAAAATTAGCCAGGCATGGTGGTGCATGCCTGTAGTCCCAGCTACTTGGGAGGCTGAGACGAGAGGATCACTCAGGCCCGGGAGGTGGAGGCTGCAGTGAGCTGGGAAGCCACCACTGCACTCCATCCTGGCTGACAGAGTGAGATTATGTCTCAAAAGAATAAATGAATAAAAAGATGAGATAAATGTTGGCGAGAATGCAGAGAAAAGGGAACCCTTGTGCACTGTGGGTGGGAATATAAACCGGTATAGTCATTACGAAACAGTACAAAAGTTCCTCAAAAGGTAAAATCAGAACTGCCATATGACTCAGCAACTCCCATATATCGAAAGGAAAGGAAATCAGTATCTTAAAGAAGTATCTGCACTCCCATGTTCATTGCAGCATTATTCACAATAGCCGAGAAACGGAAAGAACCTAAGTGTCCACTAACAGATGAATAAAGAAAATGTCATGTGTACATAAATATATATAATGGAGTACTATTCAGCCCTGACAAAGAAGAAAATTCTACCATTTGTGACAACATGGATGAACTTGGAGGACATTATGCTAAGTCAAAACATGACATTATGCTAAGTCAAAACATGACATTATGCTAAGTCAAAACATTGCAGACGCAAAAAGAAAAATACTGCATGATTGCACTTGTATGTGGAATCTAAAACAGTCAAACTCATAGAAGCAGAAAGTAGAGGGTAGTTGCCAGGGGCTGGGCTGGAGTAGGGGATGGGAGAATGGGGACATTTGGTCAAAGGATACAAAGGTTCAGTTATACAAGATGAGAAAGTCCTGGAGATCTAATGTACATGGTGACTATAGGTAGTAATACCACATACTTGAAATTTGCTAAGAGGGTAGATCTCGAACGCTCTCACCTCCCTCCACTCCCACAGCAACTATGCGAGGTGATGGATACGGTAACCGGCTTGATTGTGATCATTTCACAATGTATACATATATCAACACATCAAGTTGTACACTGTTGGAGGCCGCACAAATGTTTCTTATGATTAGGCACAATTGAAGCCTGTCAGTAACAATATGAACCTGTGATCAATTAAGCAGCTGACCAATCATTACCTCCTCCTTGTTCTTGTTACCCAGTAAATATCAAGGGCTGAGAAGCTTGGGGGGGCTACCTTTGCTCACCAGAAGCAGGGAGTTCTCTTCTCCATGTTGCCTTTCCTTAAAACAGTTTCTTTTGTCTTAAGTTTTCATTTCTACATTCGTCCCTTTGTTTAGTCATAATGACGGTTTCAAGTGGTAACAGTAGTAACTGCTGTAATCATGGTCTCAAGTAGTAGTTGTGGCAGTCAGCCACAGTACACCTTAAATATGTATAATTTCTATTTGTCAATTATACACCAATATAGCTTAAAAACATCTGCTCTAACAACAGTCCTACAAACCTCAAGGCCTATGAATCTCTCCAAAAAATTACAAGTGAATTGAGAAACTAAAGATTCTGTGATGATACCCACCTTTTCTGCAGGCAGAAAATAAGGACAGACATCTATGGGACTGGTATGAGCAGAAAGGATTACTTTCTTAATAAAGAAAATAGAATCCATGGGTTCCGCCCTCCCTCCGCGCCTCTACCCTGGCTGCTGCATGGGAGAGAGGCTGAGATGGCAGGTGAGATCGCCAAAGCTCAGGTCACTTGGCCTGGTGGCAACACGATCTTCGGGAAGATATCTGCAAGGAAATCCCAGCCAAAATCATTTTTGAGGATGACCGGTGCCTTGCTTTCCACGACATTCCCCCTCAAGCACCGACACATTTTCTGGTGATACCCAAGAATCATAGATCCCAGATTTCTGCAGCAGAAGATGATGACGAAAGTCTTCTTGGACACTTAATGATTGTTGGAAAGAAATGTGCTGCTGATTTGGGCCTGAATGAGGGTTATAGAATGGTGGTGAATAAAGGTTCAGATGGTGGACAGTCTGTCTATCAAGTTCATCTCCATGTTCTTGGAGGTCAGCAGATGCACCGGCCTCCTGGTTAACCACGTTTTGGGGATAATTTTCCCTTCTCTAGGCAATGATTAAGTTAGGCAAGTTCCAGTATGTTAAACAGCACACTTATTTTTGCCTGTGTATGGAGAGATTCAAGAAATAATTTTAAAACCGCAGACATAACAAAACACATTGTTGCATGAAAAAAAAAAAAAATAGAGTGCCAAGGTAACATTGTATTCCTTGGAGGGCTTCAGAAACAAGATTCTCCCCTGTTTGTGGAGTATAGCTCTCCTGAAGGTAATCAGTTGCTGTCAGAACTTGATAAATATAAGCAGCAAATATGAGATGCAATTATGATTTTCTTACTATTTCTGAGAAAGGCAGGTCCCTAAAACAGAGCAGCCTAGTCATGGACTCTGAGATTTGAAGGCCGAGACCAGTGGAGTGAGGAAAGTACTCACATCCAGCCAAGCTGAGTGGAAGTGTGTGGTCTAGAAGGAAAGCACCAACTGCAATTCTTAAAACCAGATTCTGAAATTAGGAGGGTCAAAGACATCTACAGGCTGCCAGTGCTGGAGGACAAGGGTTTGAGAGTAAATATCCTGTGTTTGAAATTAGGAATAGTTTAAATCCCATGGGTTTAAATCCCTGCAAGAGAACAAGAAAAGAAAATGTAAACCATGCCCACTCCTCACTCCATCACTCCGCTGGGCCTAGAAGCTTAGGTTCTTATTTGGAGGCACAAAGATGGGCTTCCGGGAATTCCTATGAAGCTCCTGAATGTGGAAGCAAATTCATAAGCATGCATAAATGATAGATAATCTGTCGGGGTTTATTTTATTTACTTATTTTTTGAGATGGAGTCTCACTGTCACCCAGGCTGGAGTGCAGTGGCACGATCTCTGCTCAGTGCAACCTCCTCCTCCTGGGTTCAAGCAATTCTCTCACCTCAGCCTCCCGAGTAGCTGGGATTACAGGCACTCATCGTCATGCCCGGCTAATTTTTGTATTTTTGTAGAGACGGGTTTCACCATGTTGGCCAGGCTGGTCCTGAACGCCTGACCTCAGGTGATCTGCCCACCTTGGCCTCCCAAAGTTGTTGGGATTACAGGCGTGAGCCACTGCACCCGGCCTCTTTTGGGGTTTTAAATAGATCATCCTAGGGTCCATTATACAAAAAGTTTAAAAGTCCATAGGCTTATGGAATTGCTATTTGAAAGAAAATTGTACAAAGTTGCCATACAGGATACATGGAGGAGAAGTTTTGTGTTGGGTATAGGTGAATGCATTTTCTTTCCAGGCTACACCCTTGTTTTCAGAATCTCACGTCTTCCAGTCTGGCCTCCCCAACATACTGGGCAGTAAAACCCTTACGCTCTTTAAAGGTGTTTTCAGTCATCATTTTCCCTCTGCGTATCAGGCAGCCATGGAACCCATGGCCACCTACTTTCTGAAATTTCAGCTAAGCTACAGCTTCCTCTGAAGACACTTTCTCTGTAGTGCACGCCACTGGTGGTCATGTCTCCTCTCCTCTTTATTGTGCCTTGCCTCCTTATTCTTTTTTTTTTTTTTTTTTTTGAGACGGAGTCTCGCTCTGTCACCCAGGCTGGAGTGCAGTGGCACGATCTCTGCTCACTGCAAGCTCCACTTCCCGGGTCATGCCATTCTCCTGCCTCAGCCTCCCGAGTAGCTGGGACTACAGGCGCCGCCACCCCGCCCGGCTAGTTTTTTGTATTTTTAGTAGAGACAGGATTTCACCGTGTTAGCCAGGATGGTCTCAATCTCCTGACCTCGTGATCCACCCGCCTTAGCCTCCCAAAGTGCTGGGATTACAGGCCTGAGCCACCGCGCCTGGCCAGCCTCCTTATTCTTTGAGCATCCTTAGTCCTTTCCCATCCTCTGCACTCAGGCTTTCCCTGTAGTATTCGACAGGTCTCTTTCTCCCCCTTCTGGCTTTTCAAACATGATACATTTTTTTCCCCAAACTCCTACCTAATTATGACTTAAGATGGAATAAGGTTTGGGGTCTCAGTTTCATTCCCCCAGCCTAATGGGAGGAATCTTACAGCCCAAAAAAAAGTGAGGAGGAAAAATCCTTCATGCCAGAATAAGTCACAGAAGCAAGGCTGTTAGCATATGCTCAAACTGACAGCTTTGGTTTCACATTCTGACCTCAGTTTCCTCAGAAAGGCAGTAACTAGAGGGTTAAGAAGATAAAATAACGCATGCAAAAAACATGCTATAGGCCGGGCGCGGTGGATCACGCCTGTAATCCCAGCACTTTGGGAGGCTGAGGCAGGTGGATAACGAGGTCAAGAGATCCAGACCATCCTGGCCAACATGGTGAAATCCCGTCTCTACTAAAAATACAAAAATTAGCTGGGCGTGGTGGCGTGTGCCTGCAATCCCAGCTACTCAGGAGGTTGAGGTAGGAGAATCACTTGAACCCAGGAGGCGGAGATTGCAGTGAGCTGAGATCACGCCACTGCACTCCAGCCTCGCGACAGAGACTCCGTCTCAAACAAAACAAAACAAAAATGTGCTATAGTGTTTGACTAATAGTAAGAACTGTTCACTCATATTAAACTGAAGCTCATTCTGTGAGTTAACATTTATCAAACATTTTTATGCATTAACATCATGTGATTTACATGCATCGTCCCATTTAATCCTCATGGGGACATTGGAAGGTAGACGCAATTTTCCTAATTTTTAAATAAGGGAAATAGGGGCTGTGTTAGCTACCTTGATCAAGGTCTCCAGTATCTTCAAAGGCAAACCCAGCACTCAAAATCAGATCTACTGAATTCTAGAGTCCATACCATTAAAGCTACATTTGTGGACAGGCGCAGTGGTTCACGCCTGTAATCCCAGCAGTTTGGGAAGCTGAGGTGGGTGAATCACCTGAGCTCAGGAGTTCGAGACCAGCACGGGCAACATGGTGAAGCCCCGTCTCTACTAAAAATACAAAAATTAGCTGGGTGTGGTGGCGAGTGCCTGTAATCCCAGCTACTTGGGAGGCTGAGGCAGGAGAATGATTTGAACCCAGGAGGCAGAGGTTGCAATGAGCTGAGATCACGCCATTGCACTACAGCCTGGGTGACAAGAGCAAAACTGTTTCAAAAACAAAAGGGAAAATGACTCCTTCCCAGAAGCATGGGGAACATGAAATGGAAAGCTCCTCTCAGAACAGTTGTAGCTATTATTAATGTCTTCCTCCTTCTCAGATTAGACACCTTTCCTCCTGCCCTTTTTTTTTTTTTTTTTTTTTTTTGATGGGGTTTCACTATGTTGCTCAGGCTGGTTTTCAACTCCTGGGCTCAAGCAATCCTCTCTCCTTAGCCACTTGAGTAGCTGGGACTATAGGTGTGTATTACTGTGCCTGGCCCAATCTTTATTTTTTAGAGACGGGGTTTTGCCATGTTGCCCAGGCTGGTCTTGGACTCTTGAGCCCAGGTGATCCACCTGCCTCAGCTTCCCAAAGTGCTGGGATTACAGGCATGAGCCACTGTGCCCAGCCAGCCTGGCACCATTCATAATATCACAGCTTTGATTGGGTGTGGTGGCTCATGTCTGTGATCCCAGTACTCTGGGAGGCCGAGGCAGGAGGATCACTTGAACCCAGGTGTTTGAGACCAGCATGGACAACATAGTGAGACCTCATCTCTTATTTTATAGAACAAAATTTTAAAAATTAAAAAAAAATAAAATCAGTTTTGGTCTGATATTACAGTTTTTCTTTCTTCCTGTTTTCCTTTCCCCATTAGAGGAAACAGGATGGAGGAGGGCAGCAGGGGGCAGCCCCCAGCTCTGGGAGGGGGATAATTTTAGAAGAGAATCCTCTGGCAGAGGTAAGCAGAAGGGAGCAGAGCTGTGAAATTCAACCTCACACCCTTATTCAAGGGCAAGGGGGTTGGGGGGGCGGGGAGGACACGGAATCCAGTTCAGAGATACTGCTCTGTAATTCTCAAACATTATCACACCTCTGAAAAGCCTTCCTATCCTGAAAATGGGTATTTATGTTACTCCCACTATTTCCATAATTTCTTTGCCTGTCCTAGATTTTGTATCCCTCCCTTGAGGCTATCCCACGGTTGTTTTTCTTGCAGTGCAATCGACCAGTTTCAGTCCATTTTTCACACCCTTTTGTCTCCAGTGTTCTGTACCAAATTCTGCTCTATTTGCCGAGGTGCTTCAGTTCACCTCGGTCCCCTTCTGCTCTTCCTAGACAGCCATTCCCTTCTATCACTCAACAATGTTTCCAGCTCCCACAGCTGTTTCCTACCAAACAAAAAAGTTTTCTTTCTGGCTGGGTGTGGTGGTTCATACCTATAATCCTAGCACTTTGGGAGGCCAGAGCGAGCTGATCACTTGAGGACAGGAGTTAAAGACCAGCCTGGCCGACATGGTGAAACCCTGTGTTTAAAAAAATTAAAAAAAAAGTTTTGTTTCCTACTAAAACTTCTGTAGAAAGTACCTACAGAACATTCCATCTCTTGCAAACTTCCATGGCCCACCTGCACCTGCACTTACCTCTCAGGTATATTCTTTAGATACAACGCACCCCCAAAATATCCCAACTTACACAAATCCATTGCTTTGATCTCTTCTATGCCGCATTAGAATTCTCTTACAATCTATGCCCACTCTAGAAGACCTTAAATGCAACCAGGTAAGAAATGGAATTTTACTACCTTCACTCTCCCATCCTTCTATTCCAGCCCAATCTGTTATGGCAGCCTACATCTCATAGTCTAAGTAACCAAGAACCAGCACTGGTTGCTAATGACTTCCATTTCATCTATGAGAAATCCCAGGACTAGGCCAACTGAGATGGACCCACACTTGCATATATTTACAGGACCACGGCAGCAAAATAAGAAGGGGTTTTCAGGTCTGGGTATGCCTTGTGAGGTGGTGAGGAAGGCTGCACTGTAAGGGGCTAAGGAAACAAAATCTGTGGACTTCAGAGGACTGAGTATCTACAGAAACAGATATTGAGCACACAACAGTAATAAATATGAGCATTTATTTGGCACCTGATGGCAATACAAAATCCTGGCAGTGGGAGTGGAAAGGTTATCTCACTCAAATACTTCCATCCTATGTCGACCCAAAGGCAGGACTTGGCAGCAAGGCTTCCAACCACCCAGCTCACAGAACAAATATTTATTGAGCACCTTGACTACTACAGGCCTAGCATTTTGCTAGGGACCATGGGAGATGTGAAGGAAGTTATCTCACACATGAAATGTCTTCAAAGAGCTAAAAATGCCAGCAGATAAAAGCAAAACACATGGAAAAACAAAGTACACATAATAATCTGTGTATATTGTCAAAAGGAACATTTTATCAAAAGGTAGGATTGCAGCTAAGGTTGGCTTGCCTTCTTCCCTCTTTTATTCAACAAACATTTACTGAAGACCCACTATGTGCCAAGCACTTGGTACGTGATGATGAATAAAACAAACAAGGTTTCTGCCCTCATTTACAGCCTGGTAGGGGAGACAGAAATGAACAACTAGAAGTAGCATACATATAAACTGCAATAAGTGCAATGAGGGGAAAAGACAAGATGTGGTGACAGACGCAGGAGTAGACTGCTCAGGGACTGAAGGGCCCGGGAACGGTCAAGACTTGAGGAATAAGGACACCACCTGAGTCAAGAGTGGTGGGGGTGGAGAGATGAGAAGGCCAAGGAAGAGGGCAGGAAAGAGCACAAAATTAGAAGCTGAGGAGACCACTCGGGCTGGAGCTTAGCAAGAAATCACCATTTAATGAGGTTCAAGGGGAAGGCAAGAACCAGTTCTCATAAACGAAGGTGAGAAGTTTAAATTTTAAGTGAGGTGTAATAGAAAGCAGAAGGGTTCTAAGCAGGGGGGTGACATAATCAGATTTATATTTAAACAACCAAAACCTGGCCAGGCGTGGTGGCTCACACCTGTAGTCCCAGCTATTTGAGAGGCTGAGGCGGGAGGATGGCTTGAGGCCAGGAGTTCGAAACCAGTCTGAGAAACATAGTGAGAACTTGCCTTAAAAACCAAAAAACACCAAATAACAACAACAAAAAAAAAAACAAAAAAAATTAAAAACCAAAACTACTGTTATGTGGAGAATAGACTGGAAGAAGAAAGATTTTTTTTTTTTTTAAAAAGTCTTAAAGAACAGGGAAGTTTCAGATAAGCAGTGTCCTTCCACTGGGGGGCCCTGCAGTACTGAAGGGAACGCACAGGTCGCCTCTGCACACTGCAGCAAGGTGTGTCTCTAGTCACATTGCAGCAAAGTGTGTCTCTAGTCATGTTTGCCTCTTCAGAGCCAAAAGATAATGTCTACATTAAATGTGGACACCTTCCAAACTCTCACTCTAGGACAAAAAGGGTGGGGGATATGAATGAAATAAAAGATAGGAGATGATCTCTCAGACATCTTAACTAATGTAATAAAAGCAATTACTAAAGTGCCATCTACAAAAGCTGGAACTGAACACAAATATGGGGAAGTTATATGCCCTCTCCCCATAATGACACTGTGTTTACAACTTCACTTGTCAGGCTCTTCAACTGCAGCTGAAACATTCCTGGCAATAGGTCCGATCAAGGCTGGCTCTACAGGCAGAGGGCTTCACAGAAGAGGAGCTGGCCTGGAGTCCCACACTCAAAGGCAGAGATGATGGGCACCGGAAACAAGTCTGGGAGATTCCCACATCCCTGAGGGGGCAGAACAGAAACTGTGCATCCTGAAGATCAAAGGCTCTATCACACCTCCTGTGGTCCAGTGGCTTCCACCTGGCGTGGATGATGGGGAGGTGGCATCATGTGGGAGGGTGTCCTGGGAACAGGTAGAGGTGGCGGCACAGAGTGCTGCAGTATTCAGACATCTCCTTGCACCGGTGGAACTCTGTGCCAGGGGCATAGCCTTCCCGATCCTTGATAAGTGCATTCACCTGGAGGGGCAGAACCAACAGGCCCAAGTCTGAGAATCTCGGGCTTCATGAGAGCAGCACGACGGGAAGGGGAGACGGACTATGAAAGAGCATTCAAGGGAGAAGGAAAGTAGAGCACTGTGGAGATGCACAGGGGTCACGGAGCCCGCCGGCTCACCTTAACCAGCATGTCGGCCACGTGCATATCACAAGCCCGCTCAGAGAACACTTGAGCGAGGGCCTCGATGTACCAGGAACCTCGTTTGGTGTTCCGCATGGCGGCAGTCCCTGCAACCAAAAGGGCATTAATCACGGTGTGAATGCCATCACACAGCTGGACTTCCCAAACTAGACTCGGCCATGGCATCTGCACCCTCCCGAGTCAGAGAACCCAGCATGAAGAATCCAAGTCTAGGAGGGTACACTCTTTTGAATTATTGGCATACTTTGGAGATACTGTAGGTCTGTTTCCAGACCAGCTCAAGAAAGTGAATATGGCAATAAAACAAGTCATACAAGTTTTCAGGTCTCCCAGTGTGTATGGAAGTTACGGTCACTATCCTACAGTCTATTAAGTGTGCAACAATATTATGTCTAAAAAATGCATATGCTGTAATTAAAACATACTTTATTGCTGAAAAATGCTAACAGAGGCATGCCAATAGAAAAATGGTGCTGATTTTAGACGCTTGAAGGAGGACTGCCACAAACCTTCAATTTGTAAAAAGCAGCTGAGCATCCCAAATCCAAAAATCTGAAATGCTTCAAAATCTGAAACTTTCCAAGTGCCAACATGATGCTCAAAGAAGGTGCTCACTGGAGCATTTTAAATTTAGAATATTTGGATATGGGACACTCAACTAGTAAGTATAATGCAAATATTCCAAAATCCAAAAAAACAAAAAAATCCAAAATCTGGGACCAAAAAAATTCTGGTCCCAACATTTCAGATAAGGCATACTCAACCTGTATCTGCAAAGCATAATAAAGCAAAGTGCAATAAAATGAGGTATGACTCGACTCTTTTGGAACTCAAAGTACCTTTGAGGCAGGCATAGCCGCATATCATGTCTGAGCGCGTGGGCAGTCTCATCTTTGGCAGCTTTTCTTTACCGGCATCACTCTCCTCGCACCCAGGGGATCCTGCGTGGTTCTTCCCATCTTGTTGGTCAACCCCGCGATCAGTCTCATCTGTAACAAAGGCAGACAGAGTGGACAAAGATGTTACTTCTTCTGTCTCTCTTGGGCCTGTCACAGGCAAGCCCACATTCCCTACAACCTTGAAGGGGAAGAGCCATTTCCAGCTGTTGCCTCCAACCTATGGCTGATAAACTAAAAATAAATAAACAAACAAATAAATAAATAAATAATAAAAATTACTCTCCCAGCATGCATCTGTTACTCAGGGGATGCCTCATACACACCAGGCACCACGCTCAAGCACATGCATATCTGTGTGGTTGGAGCAGTTCCCGTTCTGTGTAAGACAGGGAAAATGCCAAATCAAATACTCCTTGTAAATGGAACTGAAAATCATCTAAGTCCACAACACACTTGTTTGATTAACAGTATGCCTGGGAGTCACAGTGCTTTTTATTACAATACATAATAAAATATTGATATATTTAATTACATAAACAAGAAAAAACAAGGTAATAAATAACAAATACGGTTACCATAAGTATGCTACATAAAAATCACAACCTCAAACTACCTACCAAAAAAATAATAAAACTAAGTATGATCAGTTGTTTCCAAGGTGGTTTTGATATCTTTGAAGCACTATTTGTTAATTTCATAAGATAAATTACAGCAAGCATCCAAGATTTAAGAAAAAAAATTTTTAATTTATTTCTTAAAATAACTTTTTAAATCTTTTTTTTTTTTTTTTTTTAATAGAGATGGGGTCTTGCGACGTTGACCAGACTTGCCTTGAACTCCTGGCCTCAAGTGATCCTTCTGCCTTGGCCTCCCAAAGTGTTGGGATTACAGGCATGAGCCACCACACCTGGCCTTATGAAAATTTTAAGAGGGAAAAACTTAAAATGGGGAGAATTTGACTACGTTCTCCCAGAAAATTTAAAAAGATCATCCATATTCAACTTCAGCAGTACTTTCTCAACATACCCTGAGCAGATCCTTGCTCTTGATACAGGCCTTATGTATCCCAAGACAGACTCTTATTTTTGATGATGTTGTTTTATTTTGGGTGTGGGCAGGGGTGCTGTCAGTAGGAAAGACAGATAGGGAGGACTCTCAGGTCAACACATAAAAAGTAAGAGTATGCTCTATTACAGTACTTCCTGATCCACGCAACATGAAGGAGCTTAAGAAAGATGGGAAGCTTTAAGAATTGGGGTGGAAAAGGACCAAAGCACAGACTTAATAAAAATTGTCAAGCAACTGCCATGTGTTGGGCACTGTCTTACTTTAAGGCCTAGGGATAAAGTGAAGAGAAAATTCCTGCCATCATAGAGCTTACACTCTAGTTTAGAAGCTGACTGGGGCAGGGGGGTGGAGCTTTTTATAGACATTAATTATATTAACCAAATACAGCAGGAAGACAGGTGAACTCAAATTTTCAAAGGAACAATTGGCTACTGGTCATTCCTTGAAGGATTTAATTTCAGAAAAGTTAGAGAGACAGAGTCAAAAATTCAGATTACTCCAAGAAAGAGCAATTACTCCTTATCCAGATCCAATAGGGTATTAAATCCCTGGATATAGGAGGAGAAAATGACCATTTAACTGTCATTTTGTTAGTAAAGACGCCTAAAGGAAACAGGCTAAGCTAAAGAGAAAGGAGAATTCCTCTCTCACCTTTATATCACAGATCCACCAATCAATAAATGCCATTGGTTCTTTTGTCACTATATTCTCATATTTGTTTTTTACGTAATACCTACAGTTTTTCAGGCAGATTAATTTTCATCCATTCATTCGACATTTATAAGTGCTACCATGCGTCAGGCAGGGCCCTGGGCCTGGGGATAGAGCAGGGAATGAAAAGTGAAGTTTGTGCCCCATAACCTCTTTCCTTAGTGCAGCCCCCTCCACGGCAGCCTTCCTGGAAAAAAAATTCATCACATTATTTCTTACTTAAGCTCCCAACTGTTCCTTACTTTTACCGGCTGACGTCCAAAATCTCAGTTATGACTAAAGGTTTGAAATGAGGTGAACCTACTTTGTTATGACCAGCCACATCTCACATACTCACACAGATGCTGTTTTAAAATCAGATCCGAGCATTGGTTTGGGAGGAGGGGAGGCACAACATGCCCTTTGAATCTCAGTGTGCTTATCATGTTGTATTGTTTCCTTCCCACGACAGACTCTAGATACTACTCCACAACTATGTAAATCAAATTACTCCAGGTACAAATGAAGCCGTATCCTATCCACAAAATCTCTTTAAACTACCCTCACTTAAAATGATCTACTCTTACTGCATACTCCTTTCTAAGTACAGTTTGTACCTTGCTAATTTCACCCTTGCTTACATGAGGCCTGTGAACTAGTCTTAAGCTACTTCATGTATATTTACTTTATTTTCCTGAGTAACTGGTCTGCTCCTTAGAGAGACCACATTTCCTTCTGCTTTTGGGGCAGTAACTGCTGTAGTCTGAGTCATGCTGCAGGATCTCAACAGACTATATTCTGCGGTAATATCAGATCAGGATGACAATAGTATTAGCTATTTACATTTGGCCACACGAGAGATTAAAACAGTAATTATTTGAATGTTTGGACAAAGCGACCTTTGAAGCAAACTATAAGCCCTTTATGGCACTGATCGTGTTTTAAGAGTTACAGCTGGCATATTTTGTGGATGTGCTGTGAGCCAGGTACCGAGCTATGTAAGCCCTTAAATGCATAATCTCATTTAACCATCACAAGCACCTTATGAAGTAGGTACAAGGACTATTTTCATTTTATATTGAGCAAACTGAGATGGAGGGATGCCATTTAACTTAACTTCACATAACTAGTAAATGGTGAAGTCAGAATTTGACTCCAAAGTTAGGGCTCGTAATTACTATTATTTTCCTCCAGGATGAGAAGCATGCCTATGTGTCTTTTAATCCTCGTCCTGCAGTCCTGGCTCTTAAAGGAGTAAAACAAACTGCATGAGAAAAGAGGGGCAGCAGCCGCTCATGGAAAAGGAAGAGTCAAAGGCCAACACGGATTCTGTTCTGCTATCCTGCATGACCCATGAATGGTAAGAAGAAAGGAGGCAAGAGCGAAGTGTAGGTAAAAGTGAAGTATATGGAACAAGTGAAAAGGAGAAAGAGTGAAAGAAAGGAGATAAAATAAGAAGGACGGGGAAAAGACAGATCAGAAATCCATAACTGGAATGAGTAACCAAAAAAAGGGCACCGGCGTTAATAAAGCAGAGAAAAGTAAGAGTTCTCAGAAAGGAAAGCAAAGACACTGATAAAAGAGTCCTGAGAACAGGATATGGTGGTGCACGGAGAGCTGACCAGCCTGAGAGCCATGGGCTGCCCAAGTCCCAGCACACCCCATGCATTGGGAGACACTTACAGAGCAAGAGAGGCGGTGGCAGCAGTGAACAGAAGGAGGTGCCCAAGGGATCCAATAGCACCTGAGAGGAGCAAACAGGAAAGTAAGAGCTGGTGGGAGGCCGCCCAGGAGCCACCACCCAGGTGCTGGTCTGCCAGGGCACTCACCTCCACGGCAGGCCTGGATGAAGAACATTTTCGGTTTGTTCTGTAGGCTTGGGCAGTTGGCGTTGTCAAAGAGTCGAAAAACCTCTTGTAGCTGCCAGAAAAAAACAAGGAAGAAGGGAGGTTAAGCATTGGGTGGGGCCTCCTGAAGTCTTACACATGCAACAGTCGCCATCACGGGACAGACGGCAGGCAGGAGGTGAAGCAGCCTGGTTTCAACAGCTGGCTTCCACTATGGTATCCGCACCTGGAGCAGTTTCCCGTCCACACCATAGATGGCGCCCTCCACACCATGCGAGAGGAGTGCTACGATGCAGGAGTCCGTAACTCGGTGTGCAGGTAACCGCGCAAAATTCTGGAGTTTCTCTTGCATTTCCTAAAAGAAAGGAGTGTTTAGTGTTGTGCACTAGAGTCAGCACCAATATAAGCATCACACTTTGGTTTCTTTTTGAAACCCTAAGCTATTAGAAGATAAAATGCTTTCTGTATATTCCTGTGGTCAACGATAAAAGAAGAGACCTTTGGAGAGACTGAAGAAAGCTATGGACTCACCAGAAAAACGCATGTGAGTTCAGACACAATATTCTGAATACAGATTCAGACGTACTGAGACAGGCAAAGAGCTCCTGGATTAAAACAAGTTACTAAAGAAGCTAATCATGAGTTGGTCAACTCTGATTAATGCCCTGTTCATAACCAGATCCTTCATTAGAGCAAGTGCCCTTGTATATAAACGGCATAAGCGTGACTCAAAGTGTAGCTATGAATATGTAAATATGCATATTCAGCTACAATAAACTGTTCTGTGACAGCATCATGACAGTAGAGAATAGCAATACTTGTAATGTTGTCTTCTGTCTAAGATTCTAAGTATTCGAGAGACAGTGATGATGTCTGTATAAAACGCTTTGTTTCAGCAAGAGCGCGCTATAAAGGAGGATTCTATACAGGGCAGTAATTACATACACAGGCCCTAGGGTCAGATTGATCTAGGTTTGAACCTTGGCTTCATGAGTCGGAACAACTTACTCAGACCCTTGAGACTCCAATTTTCACTTTATAAAAAAAAATTATGAGGACATTTTCTCTTAAGTTTGTGAAGATTAAAATGAGATATTATGACAAAGGACTTGGCCTGGGCAACCTAGCAAGACTCCATTAAAAAAAAAAATTAGCCAGGCATGGTGGTGCATGCTTGTAGTCCCAGCTACCCTAAAGGCTATGGTGGAGGGATCACATGAGCCTAGGAAGTCGAGGCTGCGGTGAGCCGTGAATGCACCACTGCACTGTAGCTTGGGTGACAGAGAGACACCCTGTCTCAAAAAAAAAAAACAACCAAAAAAACCCAAAAACCAATCGCTGTGTCTGGGACACATTGCAAAAAATCTGCTGTTATTACAATGTACACGTCTAATAAAAAGTATTTTTCTCAAAGAAATCTATTACCGGTCAATATTGTAGTTCAACTTAAGAACTCTCTGTTCCTGTTTGTTTATTTATTTATTTATTTATTTATTTTTCTGAGACGGAGTCTCGCTCTGTCGCCCAGGCTGGAGTGCAGTGGCTGGATCTCAGCTCACTGCAAGCTCCGCCTCCCGGGTTCACGCCATTCTCCTGCCTCAGCCTCCCAAGTAGCTGGGACTACAGGCGCCTGCCACCTCGCCCGGCTAGTTTTTTGTATTTTTTTAGTAGAGACGGGGTTTCACCGTGTTAGCCAGGATGGTCTCGATCTCCCGACCTCGTGATCCGCCCGTCTCGGCCTCCCAAAGTGCTGGGATTACAGGCTTGAGCCACCGCGCCCGGCCGTATTTATTTTTTTAAAAGACAGGATTATCGCTATGTTGCCCAGGCTTGAGCATACTGGCTATTCACAGGTGCAAGATCACTACTGATCAGTACAGCAGTTTTCACCTGCTCCATTTCTGACCTGGGCTGGTACACCCCTCCTTGGGCAAGCCGGTGGTCCCCCACTCCCAGGAGGTCACCATATTGATGATGAACTTAGTTTGGACACCTGATCAGCATAGCACACTACAGCCTAGAACTCCTGGGCTCAAGGAATCTTCCTGCCTAAGCCTCTAGAGTAGCTGGGACCATAGGAATGTGCCACCATGCCTGGAGAATCTTGTTTATCTTGCACTAAGTTGTGATACATGAAGACCATTACCTTAAGCATCTGGTCCATCCGTCAGAAAGTTATATTGTGTACCTAAAGAGCATAATAATTGGGCACACATTTTTAAACCTATGCCTAAACCTATGCCTCCCTCTATAATTCACGATGTCTAGGTCTTCTATCTGAGATGGGGCAGAGAGAAAACAAGTTCATTTTATTATAAACTTGAATAAAATTGTAATGAAAATAAATTATCTGGGTGGAAGAATTAAAACACATATATTTAATCACACACACTGCCAAAATAAAAAGCACACTTCTATAACACACTGCAGTAGCTCTCAAAGTGTGGCCCCTAAAGCAGCAAGAGCAGCATCACCCAGGAACTTATAAAAAACGTGAAATTGGGCTGGGCGCGGTGGCTCACGCCTGTAATCCCAACACTTTGAGGAGGCCGAGGCAGGCGGATCACAAGGTCAGGAGTTCGAGACCAGCCTGGTCAATATGGTGAAACCCTGTCTCTACTAAAAATACAAAAATTAGCCGGGGGTGGTGGCGGACGCCTGTAGTCCCAGCTACTCAGGAGGCTGAGGCAGGAGAATCGCTTGAACCCGGGAGGCGGAGGTTGTAGTGAGCCGCCGAGATCGGGCCATTGAACTCCAGCTTGGGAGACAGAGCGAGACTCCGTCTCAAAAAAAAAAAAAAAAAAAAGTGAAATCTTAGGCCCCAGCAAAATGTGTTTTAACAAGTCCTCCGGGAGGCTCTGATATGTTAAAGTTTGAGAGCTACTAATTTATCTGTTCAGAATACTTCTGTTTGTAGATAATCGAGATGCAATTATATAAAATATTTGAAAGTCTGCAATATAACTAGAAATAGATTGGTGTTGAAAAGTACGTGTATTTTCTAAGTAGAAGCCAACAATAATAATAGAAATCTTAAGGTAATGACAGATAATCAAAAAAATTCTTCCAAGAAAATATAATTTCAAGAGAATACATAACTGTGAATGTTCCTCTGGAGCTGACGCTAATAGAATTTTAACATTGAATAGTTAAAGAAGTTAATTTTGCTCAAAGAAGAAAACAAAAATTATACACCTGGGCACTGAATCACGACCATTTTGCATTTAGTGAGATTAGGTCAGTAAATAGAAAACAACGTCCAAAAACAGAATACACGCACTTTGTAACCAAACTTAGTAAGACTCAACCATTCAATAAATGGGGATTAGACATTTGGAGGAATTTTTCCACAAGTAGAATAGCTTAAAATAGGATCTGCAGATTTGTTTTTGATAAAATTACAGTACTTCTATAAATAGCAGGGTTCTTAACTCCTAAGTGTATTTTTAGCTAGGGGTTGGGGGACATGTGAAGAGAGTAACTTGTGAACCCTCTGAAATTATATGCTAAATTCTACGGGCAGCTGCATTTTCCAGGGATGACCTATAGCTTGTCCCTACATTTTCAAAGCGGTCTGTGACCCAAATGCAAGCTAAAAAAAAAAAAAACAATACATGTGGTAAAAGAAAATTTCCACTTTGAAGAGCACCTCGTTTCCTAACATAGGGTCAATCATAATTCTAGAACTAGTAACTTCATGAAGTAGATGCAATCAAAAGTTGGTAACAGAGAAAAGTGAAAAAATTAGGGCAGGGAGAATGCCCATGCTCATTGCAGCACTGTCGGGGAAGAGGAGTCTCTAAGACTAATTCTACTATTTCCTGTTTTTAAATGGAATTCCTCTCTCAAGTAAAAAAGATTTGATAAGGAAAAGAAAAGAGGATCTTATTTTTTTTGGTTCTGTTTCTTTGCTTGCCAAACAGCTATATGATAAATGAGTTGAGTCTCTAGCGAGATCCCACCAGGAAGAGAGTATTCTGTGCAGATGCCCAGTGCACCAAATTATGACACCCATTGCAACTACCTGGTTTATAACACACACATTTCTTGTCCACATACTGTTCTCCCTGCCTAGGGTGGCTTCACCACTCCTCTCTGCTTTAGTAACTTCTATCCTTCAAGGCCAGCTTAAGTCCTGCCTCCTCCATTTATCCTTCTGATCATATCTACCTAGGCATTTCTTCTTAGCTATGACAGAAGATACTTTCTCTAATCTTGTTTAGTCCTTAGGAATATAAGAGGACACATTTCCTTTTCTGCTGATGTCAAAACTCCCTCATCTGATCTTTAAACAAATCTGTGGCAGCTCACATAGTCCCCCATCATAAGGTGCTCGAAGTTCAACTCTACTCAATTCCAGTTACAGAGCAATTTGACCAAAGAATTAGAATCCAATAGGTCACTGAATATGCATCAGGCTTAGCATAAACGGAAATGGTATTTAGAAAGTGGGCTCATCAACTCACCAAATCTACTGACGGTCTCTGAAAAAACAGCAGTATATAGCTGACTTAGCGGCTCAGTATTACACCTTTAACTATTAGACATCTAGGATCCTTTATCAGCTGCATACAAATTGAAAAACCAAGACATAACAGATTTCTAGTAAAATAAATGGCTAGACCAAAACCTCTAAGAAAACACACATAGCGCACATTTTGTTAAGTGACCTTCTGTAGGAATTACGGATGGTATCTGCCCTTTGTCTCTTTATGCCCAGCAGACTTCTCAGGAAAGCATATAAACTACCTGAATACTTGAGGACTGAAGCAGCTGTTCCTGCCGTGGCTTTAAAGCAAGGGTGGATTTAACTACATTGCATGTGCTACAATGGGGAAACTGGTAAAAACAGCATGTAAAGGACAACACCCAAGTACCTGTGGATGAAACCAGCCTTGCCAAAAACATAGTAAATACATAATTATTCTCACAGGAGGGCAGCTGAGAAAGAGAAATGAAGACTACAGACAATGCTGAATGGAAAACAAAGATCCTCTATCCCAACAGATCAAAGGGAATCTCCTAGAAATTTTAATTTCACCACTGACAACCTCAAAGCAAGTTTAAGAAAGTTCTATTATTCTGGAATAAAGAGTGAATATGAATCTACAAATAGGCCATTATTGATTGCAAAATAGAAACCCTAAAGGTCACAAAGTCAGTTGTGCAGTACAGTAACTGAGGTTAATGAGGAACAGCCCATAATGAAAATGCTCACAATTTCTAGCAATCTGGTCCAAAAACAATCCACCCTATGATATGACTTGTGGTTACATAACTATGAAGAATACTTCCCAGCCAGGCGCAGTGGCTCACACCTATAATCCCAGCACTTTGGGAGGCAGATGGGGGCGGATCACCTGAGGTCAGAAGTTCCAGACCAGCCTGGCCAACATGGCAAAACCCTGTCTCTACTAAAAATACAACAATTAGCCGGGCATGGTGGTGCGCGCCTGCAGTTCCAGCTACACAGGAAGCTGAGGCAGGAGAATCGCTTGAACCTGGGAGGTAGAGGTTGCAGTGAGCCGAGATCATACCATTGCACTCCAGCCTGGGTGACAGAGCTAGACTCTGTCTTAAAAAAAAAAAAAAAAGTGAGAACCCAACTGTGGACTATTATTACTTTATGAAACCACAACCTGAGATGTCAACACTAAAATGGCTGGCTGGCCCTAATTCTTTCTACTAGATTGCAAGGTGAGAAGCAGAACAGAGTGAATAAAAATGTAAGTAGAGTAGACCAACTTTTAAGACATATCCCAGCAGGCACAAGAGCAAAAGATGTCCCTGGTCCCAAAGTGTTGTGCAGTCCTCTAATTTACATATCAGTTTTTCCTGCCTCGGGTACCTGTGCAGTCTGGTCACGCAGAACATGGACGTCATAGCCCAAAAGCTTGAAGAGGGTGACTAGAGTACTGTGGTCCACATCCCCTCCAGAGCGAAATTCCAGTTCTTTCTCTCCAGTGAAGTGCACATTGCTCAACACCAGTGCTAGGCCACGAGGCCGAGACTGCAACCTATAAGCCTGGGGAGGAGAGGCCAGTTAGAGGATGAGCATCTCGATGACACAAGATTCCCTGGCTAGATTAGACATTTCAAAAAAACAAAAACATCGTAGTTTTCTTCTTAACCCCCAGCAGGTAAAAATAGACAAATGCTCACATAAGGCATTTAGCCAGTAACAACTTTCTGACTAATAAGGCAGAAAGGAAATGTACATGCAAACTAAGTTCAGGTTCCCTGGAAGGGTGTCTAATTTCCCAACTCTCTTCCTCTTGTCATTATGCAAAAACTCACCAGCTGGAAGTGTGTCTGATAAAATTCAGGAGTGCAAGGCTTCACCTGAAGGCAGACAGGACCATCTTTATTGTCTAGGGAGTGTTCCACAGTATCTGTGGTATAGACAGAAAACCAAAAAACTAGTATTTAACTTAACCATCAATCCTAATATGTCATTGTAACTTCAGACATCTCTTGGAACCAGGTTTTGATAAATATTGGTCTCACTCACTCCCCAAACCTGTAGGCTTCATGAGGGCAGAGACTCTTAGTTTTAGCTCACTAAAGGATTCTCTGCACATAGCTTGCATGTAGCAGATGCTCAACTGGCTGAATGACTAAATGGGCTAGCTGGTAAAGTCTTGCTCCAATCACTAGGCTGCTCCATCAGCAGGCTGGTGGCCCCAAATATAGTCTTTTCTCTTTCAGCTTTATAAAGCCCAATTGAGCATGAACTTCCTGCCTATATACATGCTACTCAAAGGGCCAGTTATCATAAAAACTGTTATCTGGGGTGGAAAGGAAATGGGACCACCTATTTATAATACCCTGCCTAGGCGGTGACTCATGCCTGTAATCCCAACACTTTGGGAGGCTGAGGCAGGCAGATCACGAGGTCAGGAAACGGTGAAACCCCGTCTCTACTAAAAATACAAAAAATTAGCTGGGCATGGTGGCGTGCACCTGTAATCCCAGCTACTCAGGAGGCTGAGGCAGGAGAATCGCTTGAACCCAGGAGGCAGAGTTTGCAGTGAGCCGAGATCGCGTCATTGAACTCCAGCCTGGGCGACAGAGCAAGACTCCATCATAAGAGGGGGAAAAAAAAACAAAAAACAAAAAAACAAAAACAACCTCTTGCCTAAACTGTCCTACTAGCCCTTAACAAATTCACTGACAACTGTTCCCAGTATAAAGTATGTCTCAGCTGGGCGTGGTGGCTTATGCCTATAATCCCAGCACTTTGGGAGGCCAAGGCAGGAGGATCACTTGAGGCCAGGACTTTGACACCAGCCTGGGTAACAAAGTGAGACTCCTTCTCTACAAAAAATTTAAAAAGGAACTAGGTGTGGCGGCATGCACCTGTAATCCCAGGTACTTGGGAGGTTGAGGCAGGAGGAGCCCTTCAACCCAGGAGTTCGAGGCTGCAGTGAGCTATGATGGTGCCACTGCATTCCAGCCTGGGTGACAGAACAAGACCCCATTTCTTAAAAAAAAAAAAAAAAAAGGCTCATGTTAGGGCAAAGCCAGATACCAGACAAGAAAGAAGTCAAACTGGGATGTGGGACACCCCCCTCCTTTTTTTTTTTTGAGACTGACTCTCACTCTGTCGCCAAGGCTGGAGTGTGGTGGCATTGTGTTGGCTCACTGCAACCTCTGTCTCCTGGGTTCAAGCAATTCTCCTGCCTCAGCCTCCCGAGTAGCCGGGATTACAGGCACCCACCACCATGCCCAGCTAGTTTTTATATTTTTAGTAGAGACGGGGTTCCACCATGTTGGCCAGGCTGGTCTTGAACTCCTGACCTCAGGTGATCCACCTGCCTCGGTTTCCCAAAGTGCTGGGATTACAGGCGTGAGCCACCGCGCCTGGCCTGGGACCCCTTTTAGTCCATCAATTCTCACCTGTCGACAGGCGGACCTTCTTGTGAAGTGGACAGGACTCACACACCGGGAAAGGGAGACTCAAGTCGTGGTCACAGCTCAACTGTAAGAAATCAAAACTCATGATGATAGACCTTAGGGAGGTGGTCCGCTCCAAATACAACAAAATCTAGTCTCCCTCACTCTGACTTACAAATTGCTTTCCAGTCAAACTTTCCTTCCCAACACCCCATATGACTAAAGCTTCATACCGGTGGGAGTACATGCTGAAGCCCGGAAAGGGTGGTGAGCAACATATCCTCCAGGTGGCCTTGCTTGGTCTCCCTCAGTGCTTCACAGAAGGCATCAAAAGCTTGGGGACCCCTCTTAGGCAGCAAGTTGAGGAGTTCCACGTTCTGGCTGAAACTGCCCACTTTGGCCTAAGACACAAGAATAAAACATGGAATCATATTTACTTCTCTACCTATAATTCTATTCCTCCACATGAGCTTCCTAGTAGTGTCCTCATTCCTCTCAATAATTCTTTTTACAGGAAAAGATATGTTTAGGTGAAGTCCTTCCTGTTATTCTTGAATTTATATCATTTCTGTCAAATGCTCTATGGTAGAAGGGTATTTCCATTTCTTTAGAAACGTACAACATCCAGCTGGGTGTGGTGGCTCACACCTGTAATCCCAGCACTTTGGGAAGCTGAAGCAGGTGGATCATGAGGTCAGGAGATTGACACCATCCTGGCTAACACAGTGAAACCCCATCTCTACTAAAAATACAAAAAATTAGCCAGGTGTGGTGGCACCCGCCTGTAGTCCCAGCTACTTGGGATGCTGAGGCAGGAGAATCATGTGAACCTGGGAGGCAGAGGCTGCAGTGAGCCAAGATCGCGCCATTGCACTCCAGCCTGGGCGACAGAGTGAGATTCCGTCTCAAAAAAAAAAAAAAAAAAAAAAAAAAAAGGATAAAGATACGACATCCTTTTAATATTTTGTCATGCTCTGTTCCCACCCCTATGATCAATTTATCTTCTCTCTTTTGCCTCCAGATACCTGGATGAGCTCTCTCATTTCCAAGGTGATGATGTCCTTCTCCAGAAGATGTTCTAACAGTTCACTCAACAACAGCTGTTTGGCTAGCACCACTCGGTTCTTTTTTAGAGTTTCCTGATGGTGAGGATGCATGCCACACACTCCCAATATCCTACAGATAAAAGGTAGAGGGAAAGGCTGTCAAGTACACAATTTGGCACAGAAGAGTGGAGTGGAAGAGGCATGAATAGAAAGAACGAAAAAGAATAAGACTTCTAATAACGAAGATTATGCATATTTACTGAATCTGGTTAAATCAAAGACGTACTAAGCAGTAACGCATTGATCATAAGAAAATAATGTCTAATTCCTTATGGTTTATGTTCAGCTGAGATCATCTGAGATGAATGGTCTGACTAGGGGAGGGAAATGTCTATCTTAAGCAAAATAATACCCCCAAGCATACATATTTATGAGAAGAAATACTTCTCTGATAGACCAATTTTAATTAAGAGAACTATTTCAGAAATCATCTCACATTATTTAAGCTGGTGAAAGTGATGGAAGTTTATAATGATCTTGGATGAGGGCTAAAACAACGCTATGACAAAAACTCAAGCCAATGGCTTTAACAGAAAATAAATGAGGCTGACACTAACTCTCTTTCACTAATGATATAAACATATAATTACATGTTTTTTTAAAACTTTAAGTTCCAGTGACAAAATGGCACTAGAAATTATCAGAATCCCGTTAAGATGTGGATAAGCAGGAAGTATGACAGAAAGTCACAGTGGGTAGGTACTTATCTATTTACTTGAAAACAGACAGAGTCTCACTATGCCACCCAGGCTGGAATGCAGCGGCTCTTCACAGGTATGACCGCATTACAGAGCAGCACAGGAGTTTTGACTTGCCCAGCTTTTGACCTGGGCTGGTTCACCCTTCTTTAGGCAACCTGGTGGACCCTGGCTCCCAGGACATCACCACACTGATGCTGAACTTAGTGTGGACACGTGACTGGCACAGCACTCTACAGCCCAGAACTCCTGGACTCAAGTGATCCTCCTGCTTCAGCCTCCCAAGTAGTTGGGACTACAGGCATGTGCTGTCACCTCCAGCTAATTTTGCCACGGGCTTGCAAAGAGATCAGCTTCTGCTTATAAACTAAAATAATCCTATTGCCAATATATGTCATCTACATGCCTACTTTACATAAATCCAGAGTTCTCTAGCCTGCCAAGTCACATTTTCCAAATATGTGACAACAGGAAGGGCGGCACCTGATAGCAGTGAAGATATAGTAACTTCAGTTTATAACTTCAAAACCTACTCTAAAATGCATCCTGATTTCTAAGGTGTTAAAACAGGAAGGGAGGCCAGGCACGGTGGCTCATGCTTGTAATCCCAGTACTTTGGGAGGCTGAGGTGGATAGATCACCAGAGGTCAGGAGTTTGAGACCAGCCTGGCCAACATGGTGAAACCCTGTCTCTACTAAAGATACAAAAAATTAGCTGAGTGTAGTGGTGCATGCCTGTAGTCCTAGCTACTGGGGAGGCTGAGGCAGGAGAATCGCTTGAACCTGGGAGATGGAGGTTGCAGTGAGCTGAGATTATTCCACTGCACTCCAGCCTGGATGACAGAGCAAAGACTATATCTAAAAAAAAAAAAAAAAAAAAAGGGGAGGGGAAAAATGTGTATCTTACAATCAGTGAAATACCACACATCTATGGAATGGATGCACTTGGCTTGGAGATGTTATTGGGTGAGAGATTTATAGTTAGAAGAGGGAAGAGCAGGATCCTGGAGAAACTGAGAGACCTAAGATAGCAGGTGGGATCCTAAAGCAGACAAAGTGGGTTGGAAGCAGTCAATGAATCTGAGGTTTGGAAAAGTGAGTCTGAAACTCCATTTTTCCTTATTTTTACTGTCATATTTCCAATACCCCAGACTTTCAGTAAAAACCGGCTATAAGAAAAAAAGCTATACAAATAAAAAAATCCATTTAAGAATGAATCACTTTCGAATACATCAAAGCAGTAATAACGATCACATATAACACTGCAGCTGGGATACCAACTAATGGTGCAGCAGATTTCTTCCATTAGTTTACCAGTAGTATTCGCTCCTTAAATTGTTCTCTTCCTCTTTTTCCATGACAGCACTTGGGAGTCTTCTCTCTGCCTACCCAATTCCTGTTTTCTTTAGAGGGCCTTTGGCCTCCCCTTAATGTTGATGTTCCATTAGGGACGCCCCTTCAAAGATCCTTTCCCTAGACAATCTCACCCATACTTGCAACTTACTGACTTACAGTTCTTAACTCTCTCGAGTTCCAGACTTGAATTTTCAATCAACTCTTTAGTTTTAATCTGAAGCATCAACCACTCTGCACACCCGCTCCTTCCTCTACTCCATAGTATGAGAGTCTTAAACGTGAACATTACAAAAGTTTCCAATCATTTAGAATTTCAGGACACAACTGGAAGGGGAGGAGGGGTGAAGGGCACCACGGGAGTTCCTACGTCTTAATTCTGCGTCCTTCTGCAGGTTCCCTTTGCGAAGACCTTAATCTTCAGTCTCGAGCGGGAGGCATTACAATGTTCTCCTGGGTGATGCCTGCCATGAAATGGAAAGACCGGGGCAGAGGCATGGACACTTGGAGCCACAGGAACCCCCCTGTTCTGCCAAAAGTACTCAATTTCCAAACCCTGTACTGACTTCTTCGAAAATCTGGTGATTGTATGCAAAGCCATGCAGATCACGATACAGTCGATACAAATCAAATGCACATCAGGCAGAGCACCGAGGTCTGCAGAAGGTCTCGGCGGTTTTTAAGGGGGCAGAGTACAGTCTTTTTATAGTCTCCCTCATAAGGGAGCCAGAGGAAAGGATGAAGAATCTTCAAGAGAAGCCAAGAGTGGGCAGGACTGCAAGGAGCTCCCCTTATTTAGAACCCTCGTGGGTTGAACAAAGGGAGGCTAGGGCAGTCTTCTTCCACGAGGGACAAGGCCAAGAGGTCCGCCCGCGGGCCCCTGCGCAGTCAGGCTCGGAACTGCTTGGCGGGGCCTCCCACCCTTGGCAGGAAGCGCGGACAAGGCTGCTTTCCGGGGCTCCGAGGGGAGGGGGCTGCAGGGCCGCACGCCTGGGGCCCACGTTCCCCTTCCCTGGACCCTCCCTTAGTAGCCCTAAGACTGTTCCTTACTTACCTGCGTCCCCTGTCAGCGGCCATCAGCTCCTTGTGCTTGAAGGTAGACCAAGACCCTGCGCTCGGCGCCGCCATTTCCCGCTTTTCCCGGGCTCTGCACTGTGCACCGCCCACAGCCCAAACAAACTGGGGGCCGTAGCCTCGCCCACATCCCTCCCCCACACGCGGACACACATTGCGCCTGCGCCTGCGCCCTGCCGCGCCCCCACGCCAGGCCACCGCGTCCTCCCGCCCGGTGCGTGCGCAGGCGCAGAGCTCTAGCGGCGGCCGCGCGGGCCAATGGGGTGAAGTGGGGAGCTCGGCGGAAAGACAAAGGGAGGAGAAGGAGCGGGGCGGGGCAAAGGGCGGGGAAAGAGCGAGTGCGGGCGGGTGTGCTCCGTTCGGCCTGGGAATCCGATTGGTTATCGATTCCCGCGGAAATCACCCCGGTACCTCTCCCGCCCCCTGGCCGGCCTATGGCGATAACTTCACGGAGACTTGTGTGGCTGGAGTTTTGCTTTATTGAAGTTGAACGGTTGGGGCCAGGCTGTGGAGGAGACTGAGAGCGCGACAAGGTGCTGGACAGATACCCGCGCGGGGAAGGAAGGCTGGCTTAGGAGGGGGCGTCAGCTATGGTTTAGCAGCTTCCTGCGACCGAAACCTACATCACAGCCGCAGCACACAATTCCAGGAAACCTGGTGCTCAATATTGGGATCTCAGGAATCCGGACCGGCGGCTGGGGTGAAAGTCTAGCGGTCAGAGCGCAGGAGTGAGGAAGAAGCTATTAGAGACGCTTCGCAAGTGGCCCCGGGGCTTCATATGGATGATTCAAGAGGGAATCTCCTGGCCAGAAAGCTCACATGTTTCACTCTTTCTGGCCTTCATACCCACCCTCCACCTAGGGCCACTGACTCCACTGTTTTCAAATACATTGGGGACCCTGCACTGGGGAATGCTCTCTAGCACCTGGGCAGGAGAGGCACAGACACTGCTACCCATGCGGAGCAAGGATCACCAGAGCGTTGACTGAGTTTGCTCGTCCAGGAGGCTGGGGACATGCGTGCCCATGCTCAGCCCACCCCCTCTGTAGACACAATTGGTCCCCCATTCTGTTTATAGGAAGTCTTCCACCCTGCACCAGCAGCTGTCCCTAGACAGGGATTGGGAGACATGCACGTGGCTTGGCTTCCTATTATCTTGTGTTGAAAACACAATAGGCTTTGGGATGAGGAGTTAATGTTATTTACTAGCAGTGTACCCTCGTGCACGTTATCAAACTCCTCTGACTCTTGGAATCCTCATTTTTCAATAATAACTCACAAAGCTGGCAAGCCTAAGGGATCTAACAGCTCGAACAGCGCCTGGAACAGAAGCAATAGCCGTCACTCAGAGGTTACGTCTTCCTTCTCCACCTTCTCTGGATCACCTCCCTACCTCATCCTCAATTTAACGCTGGAAATATTGGATATGGGGTAGGTCACCAAATGTTGCCAGAAGACTCAAATTATGCCACCCACATTTCAGCTGGGAAGGGCTTACCGTGGCCTGACTTTCCTCAGGGTCCAAGTCCCCATTTATGATATTCAGCCAGAAACACTGTTTCTGACACATAGTAGGCACTGGAAAATGTTGGTCAAATGAACGAGGTCTGGTGTGGAGAGAAGAGAAATCTTGGGAGAGTCGTTTAAGGGGGTGCCCAGTTGTCTTCACAAAAAACACTATCATCATCAGGTTGACCAAAGCAGACATCATAGGCAGGGGGTGGAGTCAGGGGCTCTAATCTGGGGAGTGCCCCCAAGCTCTGCAGATCAGGAGCAGTGGACACAGCCCGTGGTCCCCGAAGCCGAAGGCTGATTGGAGCTCTTTCAGGGCTTCCTTCCTGGGCCATAGTCTCTGAGGCCATTCGCCTCTGTTCCAGTCCGGCTCTCCTGGACCCCTCTGGATGGCTAGGTTGTTCATCCTCAGGTGCTGGGAGTATCACAGCAGTGCTATAGGGGGGTGGTTGGTCCAACTCTTGGGGGCGGCTCTGGGATTCCAGTCCCACCACGGCCTCTTCATAGGCTGGCACTTCAAAGGCTTCATTGTCCCTGAGGGAAGAGAAATAAGGCCATTGGTGGCTTCCATGAAAGAAGCCCTTTTTCCCTTTTTTTTGTCTGCTACGGGCAAAAGATCCTGTGTTGGCCTCTGACCCCTCCTCCCGCTGATGCCAGTGACAGAGGAAACCAGAGACTCTATGCCTCAGAGACTACAGGGAGAGAGGGAGGGAGGATGGGCCCAAGGTGTATTCCTCTCCTGATGCCCACCCCTTAACTCACCGTGCATTGCCTGAGGGCCCTGGGCTCTCAGTCTGCATTGATTGGAGCTGGGACCGAAGCCCGCATTCCAGAAACCGGACCAGGAGATAGGCAAACAAGAAGAAGCCACCCAATGTGAGAAAGAAATAAGCAACAGGGGTGATGTCCGTCTTTATGCCCAGCAAAGCCAGCCCCAGTAGGAAGGAGGCGCAGCACAGGAGGAGAAGCGGCTTCTCCAGTCTCCCCAATAAGTACATTGGCACCATGGCCCCTCCCCAGGCTCCTGCAAAAAGACACATAGCTATTGTGTCTACACTAGCAATTGGTGTCATGGCTGTGTCAGATACCAAAGTAACCATATGATATTTCCTTGTTTGGTTTCTAGGTTCTTCAATCTCAAATCAAATAATCTGTGGAGTCCCCTCCAGCTCTGAAATTCTCTCTAGGTCTTGGCATGTGTGGAATAGCCAGGAAACCAGCCCAGGAGCCTTGACTCTCAGCCATTCTGTAAGTTGACTGTGTCATGGCTCTGTCTTCTTTCCTTTATCCTTCCCTGTAGTCTCCCTTCCAGCTCTGTCCCTCACCACCATCCAGGATCCGGTCCTGGGCACGCCTTGCCTGGGACTTCAGTGCACACTGGCATCTCTGGAATTCAGGTGGTGGGGCAGGCCCTGCCCTTCCTCTGTTATTGCTCCTGGATCTCCACCCCCAACCTCCCCAGCCAGAGGCCCTCAATCCAGCCCTGTTAGAGAAGAGGGGAGGGACCCCCACTTACCCTGTCTGACTCTGTCTTTTCCTTTCCTCCGGTGTCAGCCCATGCTCCAGGTGGAGGGAGAAAGTGCACACAGGCGCACCACAGCCACAGGGACACGACTGCTTGAGAAACAATTGTACAGGCAAAGGCCCAGCACAGTGGCCAGAGGCCCTGATAACTCCTGTCCTCTTCTAGATAGACCCCACATCTGCCAGGGCCTTCCTCTACCCTCTGCTGATCCTAACTCGTTAAACTCAGTTTGCAAGTTTCCTGCCAGGAATTAGCCCAGTGGCTGGGAGGCGGTGGGCAGGGGAACCCTTTTTCCTTGTAACAGCAACAACCCGAGGCAGCCCATACCCCCCAAAAACAGCCTGTCAGAAGTTGCCAGCGCTCTGTGTAGCAAGGAATTGCAGATTCCCTCCTCACACCTTGGTCCCAATCCCATGACCCTCCCGACCCTCACACTCACACCTGTCCCAGGAGTTCGTCACTCACCTGTCTCCACAGACTGCAGAAAGTAGATGGGGTGGGGGTGGGGGGAAGGGCCGGAGCGGGTAGGTGGAGCCCACTGGCCCCACCCTCTTTTTCTTTTCCAATCCCTCTGTTCTGGCCCAGTCAGTCTCCGCCCCTTTTCTCCCTAAGGCTGACTTCCAACTGCTGCACCTTGATTTGTTCTGGTTTTTACTCTCTCCACCCACCCCTACTGAGCCCTAATGAGAGTGCACCCCTTACTCCCAATGATCTTTGTACTTAGGACCAGAGTTAGCATTAACCTTTTCCTCTCAGCGCATATTGTATGTTAATTACAGCCCTGGGCAGTTTGCCTTCTATTTGATAATTTCCCTTGTGCCTCTCTCCCAAGTGACTGGAAGCAGAGACCTCGGCTTCTTTAATCTCTGTAGATCAGCACACAGTGCATTGCACACAGGAAGCAATGCTGTGGGCATGGAATGGTGTGTCCTGCTTCCATTGCCCAAGTGCTATTTTTGTGGACTCCCCATTTTCTGCAGACCTGTGAGAAGTGTTTGTGTGTATACTTCTTGACCCAGTTAACTCCTGAGTCTTCAAGATCCTCCTCCGAGGTGATGCCGCTTTGGAGCCTGCTCCAGTGTATCCACACTGTTCCTTCCTAAATCTGTTCCACCATTTACCTGGTTATGTAGCATTTTTCTGTTTACTGATTTTCCTTCCACTGTGAGTTTCTCAAGGTGCGTGATTAGTTTTAATCATCTCTGAATCCTGGAACTAACATGGTCCTGACACGTGGTGGGGCACTGACTAGAAGGCTCCCCTCTCACCAGGCCTCACCACACCTGTGAAGATCCAGGAGCCATTCTTTTCAGTTGTGGGTCAGGCAGTTAAGTCTGAGTACGGGAGGTGCTTGGAGGTAGAGGGTGGGTAGAATCATACTTTGTTCTTGAGTCAGAGGGTGAACAAGACTGGGCCCCGTTCCTTCAGAGGGTGACCAGCAGACAGAGCGAGGGGAGCTGCAGACCATGGGCACAAATCCAATCTAGGCTTCCCAGGGACAGCTGGGGTGGGGGAGCATAGCAGAGAGGGTGTGTGTGTGTATATATGTGTGTGTGTGAGAGAGAGAGACAGTATGAGAATAAGGATAACTGTGTCTGTAGTGGTTGGTATATATATGTGGGCACTGGTGGGATATTGAAGATTCTCTGTCCCATAGCCCCAGATCGAAAGCAGAGAGAGGAAGGAGACATAACAGGAAGGCTGTGGGAGTCTAAATGAGGTGTGCCTCTATGTAAAGTAGGCACGGAAGTGAGAGGGAGCTGATTGTTGTTCTGTTTCAGCCAATTTCCTCACTGTTCTGCTCGTAAGGGGAAAGTACGGCTGGAATCAGGACTTCAGTCTACAGTTAACATATGAATAGAAGGAAATTGGCCAAGGGTCATTGGTGTGTGTGATAGGAAAGGGGAGTTTGTTAAGGAGTGAGTTGTGGGGATGGGAAGGTGTAGGCTAAGTCGCACGGGGCCAAAGGGTATGGGCCTGAGGTGTAAGGGGAGAGTCTGGGAGAGTCTGGACCTTTGTAGCTTAAGTCTCTTGGTTGCCTGAAGGAGAGTGCAATAGATAAGAATTGGACCCCAACTGGAGAGGCTAGACTGCTGACTGGCTGTGCCGTTCATACAGTCTCAATTCCAGTAATGTAAAATCAAGTTTAAAAATCATGTTAGTTAATCAATTGGCAAATAAATTGCATTTGTTAAAAA